TAATAACCTTATCACACGGTGTATCCTAACGTCCCCGTTTCGAGTGTTACGGTGTAAAAGCGCGGCTGTTATTACGCGGTGCGCGTCAGCTCAGCGAAGAATAGGTCGCGCGCGTCCCGGCCTTCTCATCGTCTCCTGGTTTCGTCTGGCCGTTGTTTTTTTTCTCTTTTCTCTCCTTTCTTTTTCAGGAAGGCAATCCAAACGAGACCGTTCGTTTTAATGGACACCTTTCGTCACGACGACGTCGGTTACCTCTGCATCCCGAATCTTCACACGCTCCGCGATGTTCAGGCCGCTATAAGCTTTCGTAATTTCATAACGAGTCGACTTCCGAGGCATCTTTCCTGTCGCGATACAAAAGCGATACACGAAAGTCTTTCTCACGTTTCCACCGCTGTGCCGGCCGATTAAATATTTCATTACACCGTCTATGTACACGTTCACGCGTGTTCGTGCGCGCGTCCGCGGTGTCCGAATTCAATAATCCCGGGTTCAGCGGTCGGGATCATCCTCGACGATTGCGCCGCTGTGCCGGTCGCACGCGAACGCGCGACAAACTCTCCTAATTATATCTCCGCGTGATGATCAATCGATCTCCCCGGCGTCTCCCATAGGCTCTACCGCGTCCTTATCGATTCGCCTTCGCTTCCGTCGATCCCCCAATTACTTTAATTCATACCCTCGATTTTTATCCGCGCGCGTCTCACCGCGAAACGGCCGGCGCGCACACGATCAAACGTTATCTTCCGTTGCGTAATACCGTGATCCCGCATCGCACGGATTTTATTCTGTCCAGGGTTGCGTAAGCGATAGAGCATCAATTATATGGAATCCCGAGAAGCGCGACTCGTTTCGCCGTTCGGCGAACAGACCGACGCATGAATATGGACGAATATTGCTGCGATTGTCTTTCCCTCGGATCTTTCTCCCGTTCATGGTGTTACGGTTTATCATTGGCGAATCGTTCCAGGCGTCGAACTTCTTTGATTACTTTGTACCTCCTATTTTCACTGGCGTGTACTAAATAAATTTCAAAAGAGTTGCAAAGAAATAAGTTCAGTACAAAGTGAGTTGTCTCGAAAGAAACTTCTTTTTTTTCTTCTCTTCTTAAGGAAAGAAACTTTTTTTTTGGGAGTATTAATCCTTTAAGCTCGGAAGTTTTCTAGTAGAAATATTCAACCTTGCTTGATGTGATTCAGACGACATTTTTTGAAACCGACTTAATGAAAAATCGTACAAATATTTCTCTTATATTCAGTGTTCGAGTTTCGCGAAACCACCGTCCCGGTGGTGTCCCGTCGGCAATTTCGTCGGGTTTCCCCGTGTCATCGTTTCGGCGAACGGTGCACGCACAATCGCGCAAACCGCCGACTTTCGTAATCCCTCCTCGATCAAACAGAAGAATCGCCATTAGGTAATTACAAGGTTCACGATTGAGGGGTTCGGCATTAAGCAGTCGCGTGTCGCAATAGTTAGAAATTCGTGAGGAAACGGGTCTTGGGAAACACGATTTTCCACTGGTCCGCGACTTGCAGTCAATCGTCTCGAATCAGAAGGACAAACAAAAATTACAGCTCGAATACGTCCATTGACACGTAATTCCATCAACTATGACTTAGTTATTAACCAGTTAACTGGCGAGTGTATACCTCATCTTAAAGCTTGAAATGAAACTACATAAATCTTTCACCGATGAATACTTTATTTTTTCAGATAAAAATATAATTCTTCTTCATTTTGCTTTCATGTTCTATTAAAATATAACCTAGCTGCATTCGTCCTACATTCGATCAGTACACGTTTCATTCTTCGATTTTATTGCGCACGAAACGAGAGATTTACCAAACCAAATTCCACAGTTAACATGTCAACTCGAAAACTGAATCGATGAGCATTCTTTCATCAGTTGCGACCAATCTCGTCGATTCATGTTTATCGAAATCGACGGTAGAACCATTTGTGATTGCAAAAACTTGTTAGCTATTATCAACGCGCAACGCTTTGCACGTTTGGCGGTCTGATTTCATCGGGCGTTCGATTATCGAGCGCGATAGTCGAGCGTCGGATTGGCGACCCATCGGTAGTACGCACGCGTGCGTCGTGGCAGCGGGCCTGACGGTGGCAGTTCCGCGGCGCGTATTATCAGTCGACGCGGGTCGAACCAAGCCGCGCGCGGCCTGTCCCAGATTTTCAGTCGCGCGTGTTCGCGACGGTGCGCGGTTGGCTGGCAGCCGGCCTGTCGATCGTCCGCCGATCCTAGATCGGTCCATCGTCAGAACGGTTTCGCGGTTGAACGAGCACGGATCGATCTTCCTCCGTTCGCTTGGACCGGTAGCTCAACCACCGGAGTCTTCGAGCATGTTTCCGGATACCGGGGACACGTAGCGCGTGACGCGTGCCTCAGCTGCATCGGCGAGATCGCTTCGATCGCACCTGTGTCCGAGGCGCCGCGCCGGCCACCACGTCTCGTCGCGAACGCGTGTTCGCTGGTCGGTGATGTCAATCGTCGCTGAGCGCGATCCAGCGCTGCCAAGGCACTTAGACGATCGAGAGTAAGTAGCGTCAGGGTCCGGTGGACGAATTCGCGACGGGATCGATTATTGCGTTGTATTTCGTTGGTCGGGACCTATTCCTTGTTACTTGGATGTTTGCCGAGCGAAGGTGTCGTATCGGGGATAATAAAGTTTCGTTATCATCACGACGCTATTTGCTGGAGATAAGGGGAATGAATAATACACGGAGGCTCGTGATCAGATACCTTTCGTTTCCGATAGAAATAATCTTCATTATTACGCGCTAGGAATGTTGCCTGGTTTTCTTCGATCCTCGCGATCTTGTTCCTCCTTCCGCGTTTTACTTCGGGAAGAGCGTATCGCGATACCGTGAGAACCGGAGGGACGCCACGATGAATCGTTGCGTGTCGTCTGATTTCATTCTTGCGGTTCGGTCATCGGAAAACTTGTTATCGAATCGCGGCGATGTTAATTAAGGGGCCGGTTGCGTTCATTGCGGGCAAGCAATTAAGGAGGAAGAACATTGTTTCGATCGGTTCGGGAAAGCACAGCTGGGAACGGTTTAAATTTCCAACGACGAAAGGACGCGCGCCGTTGCGGCCGGATCGTGACACGAGTATAACAGTTTCCGGTCAGACACCCATCCACCGCCGCTTCCGGTATCGCTGTTACCCTCCCGTGGGCTCGAAACGAAAAGGGAATCGCTGTTGTTCTCCGCTTCCTGTGTACAGTTTCTGTCGCCGATGAAACTCGTTCGAAATAACATTGTCAGGCGGTGCAATTTCATTCAATTGCATTCAATTTGATTTAATAATAGCAAACGGACGTGTGAACGGTTCAGTGATACAATACGAATATACATCTAGAACGTATTATTCGTTTATCTTCCGCAAGATAAAACCGCTGGTCACGATGAAAACGTTTGTTTCGTAACAGGTGCGAATCTACAGGAAGGTACATATCGCAGAATTCGATCGCGTTCATTTGTTTGTTATTAGTTTTCTAATCGCACAGTTCGCTAGCAGCGCGAGACGAAACGAAGGAGAAAAACAAGACACGAAGAATACCGGTCCGCCACGCGAAAGATCCGAGAAACGCCGCGTCGCGGCCATGGCGCACGGATCCCGCGACGAAACGCGGCGCCCGAGATCGCATTCGGTTTTGTCGTCGAATCTCGGAGTCTTCGAATATCTCGAGACGTAACGGAAATCTCGGAAAACCGTAATAACGAGCAGCGACTGTCTATTGCTCCATTTCATCCTGGAACGGTACCGTTACCACCGACGCTCCGTCTTTTTCCTCTACGCGATGAAGATCCGCGAAGTAATCATAGTCGATTGTCCAACAAAAATTTGTTTCAATCTTCCTACGCTTTGTCCGAGTATTCGATTCTTAACGGGTCACCCGGTACGTGGACACGCGCGTTAACAAAGTTCTAGCATTGTACGCGGGTGTAATTGGACGACAGGTGTACGGACGCCGCCCGTATACACGGTGCTCCAGAACGAAAGCGTCCGGAGAGCGGATTTCGTCGCGAGATCTCGAATCCCGTCGATCCGAAAAAAAGGAAGGACGAGAGGGAGGGATAAAAGGGAGCGGAGCGAATTAACGAGAAAGCATCTTTCAGCTTTCCCCCGTCCTTTTTTTCCGTTATCGGGTTTCGCGGGCGAGACGGCGTAATATTTCACGAACGCGCGTCCGCAACGAGCGCGCGTTAGGCAGCTCTCGCTCAGCCCCGTTTCGACCTTCGTTCTTGAATTTCTGCGCTGACCGGCGACGCCCGCAAACGCGAGCACAAAGTTAGCGCGCATTTCCGAAACGGTGCATGGCGGCGCGGCGGCTCGACTCGAACAACGGAATGCCTACACCTGACCAACGAACGGAATACATTAACGAATCCCTTTTCCACCTGACTATCGGTCACCTGACTCATTTCCGGCCCGTTTCACAGTCGGAGCCCCCCGTGTGCACGATCGAGATCTAACGATAGCATCGCGTTTTACGCGCGTTCTCCCGACTCTCGCATCCGTTTCGTTCGATTAACCTGTTCACCGGGACAGACGGACGGGTTCGTTTGTTGTTCGCATCCTGCGAACGGCTTTTGTTGGCTTACCCGTACTTCCATCGAATTCTGTCGCGTCTACTCGCGTTACCGCTCGAATTGCTTCGTCACTTTCATTTCGACACGCTCGCGTTGCGTTCCTACTATCGACACACGCTTGCGACGACTCGAGTTTTGTAGTTTGCATAGAAAAGGAAGGATTTATTTCTCGCTAATTTTTATTAGAAGGTGTCACTACTCATAAAGTAAATGTACAATGATATTCGGTATGTCAAGCGGACTTGCTACTCAGGAATTCTAAAAGACCCATTACATCCAATTAAATATTGCGTTATGAAGGCTGTCACTGGAACAAGGTAATAATAGCGAACATATTATTGATTAACCAATATTCCTCTTCGGAAAACCTCGAGCAATCAACATCATCTTGCTACATGATATACTTCATTAGAATTTATTCCCCATCATCGTCACCGAGACTGATTAATGTCCTCGCGCGCATCTGGTGGACCGTTCGCCGCTCACAGTCCGTACGCGCGACCGTTCGCGTACCGCAAACGTGTAATAACGTTCTCCGTTCCCGGACGCGACGCGAACGGCGCTCGACGGTTCGAGAATCGGGCCCGATCGGTTATTCGTAACGAGTCGAAACGGTCGTCGAAGGCCAGACACGGAAAGAGAGCGAAAGAAACGATCGGGCTCAGCGCGCGCAAGGTGCAACGCGTGCCGCTGCCGCGCGACAGCTGTTTTCCGGTTTAAGTCTGGACGTTAAGCCCGCTTTTTTAATTCCGCGAGGCCGAAACGCGTTTCGGGACGCAACGACGACGATAATGGCGCGGTCGCGCGAGGGGTGAATCTTCCCTCCGCCCTCTTCCGCCCCTAGCAGCCGGTCGCGCGGTAATTTCTCGCTCGTTTCGCTCGCTCCACCCTGGAATTTCAACGAATAAATTTCGCTCGTTCCTCCCCGCGAATATTAAACCTCGTTACCCGGCTGCGAAGCAGGTGATTCCGGCGATAACGAGGATTGATTCTATTTGCAACAGAGAATCGCATTAGGAGAGCTGACGGGAGGTGTTAGCGACTATGGAGGACGAGGACTTCGGATTCACCAAGAGGGACGAGGCTGTTCTCAGAAACGTCAAGCAATCGGACAGAAAGGAACGCCGAACGATTAAGGTTCGTGTTGTTGGGATTGCTTGAATTTTAGGAAAATATTGTAGGTGACATAATTAGAAATCAAATACCCTCTTCGATAAAATCACCTTTTATTTGACGAATATTCGAGTCATAAATGTCAGCTATGAAAAATAGTTGGAGATAAATACGTTGGGTATTAATTATCGAGTAGTACGATGGACAACGGTCATAGGGAGGGGTGACAGGTAAATTTTGAAATTTGTTAGGCGGGAGAGGTGGTTGGTGGATCTGGATCGTTGATGACAGCGCCGTTATCCGGGGCGACCGAGGCCGGAAACGCCGTCCCTGAGCGGGCAGCGACCGCCTCTTCGTCCTCTCCGGCTTCCTCAGTCGTTTCCAACCCGCCGAACATACCGAACGTGGTCGAGTATCACCTGAAAGTGAAGCCTGGACAAACGCAGAGAGTTTGCCGGTTAGATAACAGTCCAGTGAGTACCGATCAACATCGAGACTCGTCACGAAGAACAATCGATCGCACTGCACGCGTATCATTCATCGAAACTCACGAACGAACAAACGAGCGTTCGTTTCACAATTCCATCGTATCGAGCAGCGAGACGTATCGTTCCTATTAGACGTCGTTTCCGACGTTCCATCGTAACGCTAACCGGTCTCATCTCATTCGTTCATTCGCTTCGCCGACCAAATCATACCTCCCAGGCAGATAGAAAACCGTTGAACCGTTTCAAACGCAGAGAAGTCAAAGCGCGGACGAGATGAAGAAAGAGAAGAGCCCAGTGTCGTCCAGTGACAAAAAGAAAGACCTCGTGTCGAGGCTGTCCCGCCTGTCCATCGACAATAACGTCTTCGAGGGCTCGACGGATCTACCTCAGGTGTTTCAGGTATACATTTCGTTGTTTACCTTTTACCTGTTCTCTCCCGCTAACTGGCACATTTAAAAGGTCTCACACTTGCACCATAGAATCTCTCGGTCTCTCCTAGAGCAAGCATCCTTCCGATCCGCTTCGCTACAATGTGTAACCCGTTTTCTAATTCCTCGATCAAACTTTTCGTACCGTTTATTCTCGTTTCGTAAGAGGCTCACTCGAACCCTGCCCCGAAAGCTTCTCGTGCACAGCCAGTATACGTATACGCGGCGGGCCCAAGGCCTCCGCATAGGTTTAATTATCTACCTGAGCGAAGGCGCGCGTGGGAGACTAAAGGGGAGCCCTTTTCAGGTGAAATATTTGGGCTCGCATGACGCGAGGGGCCTCTGGGGCATCAAGCATACGAGGAGGCCCGTCGATAACATGGTGGCTGCTGCGAAGGCCTTACCGACCAACACCATGCTGCCTCTGATCAAGCTGGTCATCTCGCAGGAGGGTGTAGCGTTGCTTCCTCTCGAGAAAAGGAAGCAGGAGCCGAACTTCTCCAGGATGTACGCGATCGAGACGATCTCCTATGGAGTCCAGGACCTCGTCTACACCAGGGTCTTCTCCATGATCGTCGTTCGGGAGACAGAGAACTTCCGGAGAGTCTCTCCGTTCGAATGCCACGGTTTCGTTTGCGAATCGAAGCATCACGCTAGACAGTTGACCTACGCGCTGGCCACCGCCTTCGAGATTTATTCGAGGACCGTCAAGGCTCAGGACAAAATGGCAGAGATGGCTGGCAACAATGCGAAAAAAAGGTTTGCTATCGATCTCAGGAGCCCCGAGGAAATGGAGGCTGACTTAGCTATGGATTCCGAAGCCTAATGGGACTTTTTTCCTTGTTTCCGACTGGGTTTCGTTTATCTGTTGACTCGGTTTGGATAGTTTCAAAATTAAGGGGGGAAAGCTTGAGAATTGGAATGCGAGGACGTCTGCTCGGAGGACAACACAGGGTACGCGTTGCGGGAGACGTTTCGTATGTACAGACGGGTATATATTTTTTAGGCGTTAAGTTCGTTTACGAGGGAAAGTATTAATATCATCCTCGTACCTGTGAAATAGAAGGTCAGCGGATCGCAAGGTTCGACGAAGGTACAAACTTTCTGGAATCCGGAAGATTCCTCGATCACGATTGATTGTAAATAGATTTACCTGTATAAAGCAATATAGTATATTATAGATCGTTAAGGAAATAAACGTCGAGTCGTTGAATTCTGAAATATTATCCTTGTTACGGACGTTACTTTATGTTTGCTTGAGTGTTTCTAGATTAAGCTATTGGTCTCTATTGATCGTTAGGAATTAGATGTCAGGTACGAAGCAACTTGAATTCTTCTCTTGATCGAGACTCGCTCGATTTCGGTGTTGTATGTTCTCGAACAAAATCAATTCTGTCCCGACGAAAGTTTCCCTCGAGGCCGTGTGTGAGCACGAAAGCTGCGATTGTTGGTTGTTTATTATTTTATCGGCATTTAGGGGGAGAGGCGTAGGCACTGCCTATCCGCGACATAATGGCTAGTTATCCAAAGATACCAAATAGGGGAAAAGATCCGAAAATTGCCGTCAGTTCTCGGTGACTTTCGCGATTTCATAAAGCTACGATGTCGTTCGTTTGAAAAAAGGAAAAAAAAGATTGGATTTACTTCTAGCCGCTTTGTGTGTGTGCGTGTGCGCGTGTGTTCTCTTTTCTCTTCACATCGATGTATATACAGTGTCATTCCTCGATCTATTTCTTTTAATTTATTTCCGTTCTACCGTTAAGCCGTAAAACCAATATCGATACATATCAGTTGTTGTAAATAAACGTCGAACCTGTGACGTCGTCGACGACGTCCATTCGCCGCACTAACGATTGTAAATACCGTTTCACTTAGCCGTTAAGCCGTCCGTTTTTCGATCACGAATAATCCTGTTGTCGCACTGACGTTTTCTCATCGTTTCTTGGCTTGGGACATTTGTGTAACGCTGTAATCGCGCGCAACACGACTGCTTACTTATTATCATAGTGATTCGATTGTCAGTATTAGCGAGCTGTATCAACACGCTACGTATAATAAACTTTTTTACGGTCACTTTAAATCCTTTATTGCAACGCTCCAGCAAGCTTACGTTTCTCATCGGTTTATACAATCGAGTACATCTACAATAATACCGCACGATTCTCACTCTCTCACGCGCAACACATCCACACACGTTCCAACCTTTTGCATTTACTTAAACTGTTACAAATACTTAAATGGTAACGAGCGAGTCCGCGCCTCGCTCGATCGCGTTTCCGGCAAGCTAAGCGGATACAATTCGATTCTTTTCTTCGACGGCGAGCTTCGCGGGTTCTCTTGCGACCTGCACCGTACGGAATCGAGAAACATCGTTTTGATGTGAAACTGATACGCTTCACTGCGACCGCGAGGATTTCTTCCTGTTCAAAATCCTGGAGGTTCTAGTAGGTGGTTTACTGGAGATCGGTTCCACCGCGTCTGACTCCTTGGTCGCTTGGTCCGAATCGTTTTCCTCTTCCTCCACTTCTTTCCCAATCGCCTCGTTCAAATTGTAGAAGTTCTCCGATTCCTCGCAGGGTATCGAGTTTTCCGTTCGCGTGCAGACAAAGGTGGCCTAGGGGAAACAGCTTTTACCTTCTGCACATGGACGACTAGCTCGACAAGCGTATACCTGATTGAACACCGTTTCCGCGGGACAAATGAAGCTCCACCTCATCGCGCCCCTAGCCTGCGGCATGCACACGTGGAAGATTTGGCAGTCGTTCTCCATGTCCGCGTAGTACCCGTAAATCCTGTCCTGGCAGGAGAAGTTGTCCACGATGTCCTCCCTGATTAGCGTCGCGTTGTCCGGCAGCTCCAATCCGCTTGTCTTGTTCTAATTCAAACGTTTTCCAGATTAGATTTCCCGGGTAACAGTTAACACGGATCTAACGGTAGCAAACCTTGAACTCCGGGACAGGCCTCCTAGACTTAGGCGGCGGAGGAAGTCCCCAAACGATGGCAAACAGAGCGACGAGGAATACGGTCAGGCAGAATCGGCGAATCATCGTTAAGCCTAGACGATTTTCTCGGAATCTGAACAAACTTTCAGGTGGCTTGTGACGAAGGAGATATTTCGTGAGCTACGATGTGAGTTCTGTGCCCGAGGGTCCTGAGAAGACTGATGATACGATCCGCAGAAGGGTGTTATATAGCGGGCTGCGCCGTAAGGATCTTGAATATTGTATGAATGGCCGATTCTCGGTAGGTAGATATTAGTAATTTCATCACGTTTGGTCTGCCAATGACCATCCAGACGTCCACATCATCCTCGAAGGCCCGATGCAAATTCCCCCGATTCCGATGTGCCGAATGATACGCTCTCCCCGTGCAGCACCCACCAACGAATTCCTTTCGCCCTCCTCGCCGCCGACCTTTATTATTTGATCATTCACCGATCGTACCGCGCAGCGCCATTCAAGCGGGGGCCCCAGCGGTGTGACCCGGGTTGCGTACGGTACTCTTGAGATTCGGTTCAACGTGATTCCCGAGGCGAGACAAAGAGGCATTAATATGCCCTTAAGGAGTTTCCCGAAGCGATCGTTCGGCGCGTTCGCGCCTCGTCCTTCCGTCGAAGCGCGGGAATATTGCTGAAAGGAATCGGGCGCGGCGAATCCTCTCTATGAATAACCCGAGGACGTGCTCGGCTGCGAAGGTCGGATGCAAATCGGCGGTGGAATCGAAATAAACCCCCTCGGGTGATTGAAATTCGTTAGCCGATCGAGAAAAAGCTGCGGCCGCCGCGATCAAACTCTATAAACGGCCGGCGGAAGGATATTTCGACGCCTCTTCTCACGAATTCCGACGATCTTGACGCCGGGACACGGTGGTCCGGTTGGCCCCGGTCCAATCGGAGCTCCGAAAAGAGGTTTCTCGCCCGTACGCGAGGGCAAACCGTTCTCTTCGGCTTTAAGGTCGGCCCGCGGTGGCCACCGGCTTCTTCGGCTCGTGAATACATAACAGTTTCCACGGGGTCCTCCGCCGCGGTTACGAAACCTTCCCCGCTTCTGGTCATTGACCATGGGCCTCACGAAAAATCGCCATCGTGATATACTCGCTCGGCTCGCCTCACGCATCACCAATAATCATCTTCGTCTCTTTCCTCAGCTTCTTGTCCTCTTTCTGTTCGGGTCGTTGTTATCGCTGTGTGGTCTTTAGTTGCGCAATAGTTGGACGCGGATATCGCGAAGTGCACGTCGAGTGCGTGCAGGCTGTTTCAAAATCTCGGCGAATATCTAATGTTAGATTCAGACTGGAGTAGAATGTATGAGAAATCGGGGCGAAACTGATGCATCGCGATACGCGTTCCGGAACGAGTGTTCTTTTGGTAGGTTGAAATTGTGGAAAAAGTGTTTCAGAAAATGTCAGCGAATCGTGAATTAAAGTGTAAACTTTAATTAAGCTATCCGTAGAGATAAGGGGTGAGCGAACGGATATATTTTCACGAATCAATAAACCAAAGTTACGTCTGATCGGGTTTCATTTTGCCTCTTCATTTGGACGGTTTCTGGACGAGGGTTGAGAACGTTCCCATAGCATGTCGACCATCATTTACCCGTTTCGAAAGACGGCGACTTTCCCTCCGGTAGAATGGGGTTCAATGAAAATATTGCAACCTATTCAGAGACCTGATGTTTCCACAGTTCGGATCGAGGGAAAATCGAGGGAAAGAGGAACGCGCGAGAGCGATCGCCGCGCAAATCTCCGGTGTTTATCGGTCGATCGCGCTCCCCGCAAGGTGAACAGCCCGAAAGTATCGGTGCTCGTTGGAAATTCCATTCGCATTTTCCTGCGCGCGCGTCCACGGGAATACAAACGGGAAGACAACGCTCCGTGCCGGTCCAAGCTCCACGGAGAAAGAAGGTCGCGGTTTGATTCCGTTGACTTTCGCGGTGGCGTCGCGATCACGGCTGTTTCTTATTCACCGTCGATAAATCGAGGATCTACGATCCGCCGTGGCGCGTTGATTGTCTTCCGAACAGAGCTCTGCTCCTTCGATCGAGCCGGGAGTTACACAGGTGGTTTATTATCAAAATAATTTATTCCTTGTACGTTCCTTACAGGTGTTATTCAAAGATAGACAACAAACGAGAGATATAAATAAATTAATAGAATTATATTAGCGTGAAGAAGATGCGCGAACTGAAACAGGTACGCAAAGTGGACTTTGGTACGGCAGGATGATTCTCGCTTCGCGGATCAGCGAAGTTTACTCGGGTAATGCGAACGTAACGATTCGTCAGTGATTGTCGCGACATAAATAAAAACAAAATAAATAATTCAACATAAATACGAAGTGGGCGTCGATGGACGACGCGTCCAACAATTAACTAGAAACCTGAGCACGAAGCGTTCGACCGCTTCTCTTTTCGCCGGTGCTATTTTACACGACGACGTGGATCTTCGTCATTATTGTTTGGTAGCGTAGGCGGAGTAAGCGAGATCGTGGGGAGAGTCGTTTGAGGATCGTCCCCAGTAGCCGTGATCGTGGTCGTCGTGGTCGTAGTGATGCTGATGTTGCGCGTGCTCGTAATAGATCACTTTAGCTGGGGGTTTCTTCAGGTCCAGCCAGAACTTGACCACGTTGATCAGCAGGCTAACCACGGCGATCACGAAGAACTTCACTTGCAAATGGGTGGAGATCAGTTGCAGTAGCAAGCTGAGCTTCGCTTTGAACAGCATCACCAGGCCGAGCAGCCTCTGCAGCTGCTTCTTCTTCTTGCCGAACTTCTTTCTGCGTCCTTCCACTGAAATGCAAATGTTTGGATGAGTCGAATCAGTCGGCGTGAATCGATAATGAAAATATTTGACTAGGTCTTTACGAAACATAAACAAAGTTTGTAGAGTGATATTATCTTTCTGAAACTTTAGTTAAAAGTGTACGTCAGAGTAATTTAATTTTCTTTAGTCAATAGTCCCTCGTTTTTCTTTCCTTTTCCGTTCTCCGCGCAACGGAACACCATGCAAGATTCAGAAGACTCCTGATACACATCGTGGCACCGATTTTCTACGTAGCCCTTCCCAGACCCACACATTAATGCGTGAATCGACACAGAAATGAGAGAAACAGTTTCCTCGTTCCTTACCGCGGGCTTACTCTCTTCGCCCGACATTGGTATCACCGCAAATTGTCGGCGTAAGCAGGATGTTTACAGCGCTGATTTGCATGGTTCTCAACGACGTACACTTTCATTCATTTCTCGGCTCTGTTATCGCAACTTGGCGTTCAATTCACGTTTGATCTTCGGGATCGTCTCTATAAATTAACCCTTTGTACTCGAGAGGCGACTCTCAGTCACTACTTGATTTGATGCAGTAAAATTATAAAATTTGATATTTAATATTCAACCGTGTATAATCGGTGCGTGAAATATCGGGCTAAAAAAGCTTTGTTTCTCAATTTACTCGTGATTTCTCTTTGAGCTAATTCCAAAAAATATCATCTTTGTCTAGTTAGAAAATGTTAAGTATTTCTAACGAAATACTTCCGAGTGCAAAGGGTTAATTCAAACATCCGCGACAATAATCGCACGCGGCCTACACTGAAGCGCTGAACAATGAGACACACTTCGTGTGCGAATAGCATTATTTAATTTGCACGTGACACGATTAAACCTTCTTCTTTATTCATATTCAATCTCTTGCGAAGTTAAATGAATCTTTATTCGATTAATCCTTACTTCATTTTGACTTTGACCTATCGGTACATCATTCCACGCGAACGATGTTGCTCGAAGTAAAAGAAAAAAGAATATCGGATGAATACGAATGTCTGAATAAGCCTGAACAAGTCTCCTATCAGAGAAGCCTAGCGCCTGGTCCGTTGAAGCAATTAAAACGACTTTTCGGATGATTCAGTCGCGTGACCCAGAAACCGGTGCCCCTTACCGGGCCCCGTGATTTATTTCGACCAGCGCGCGCCGGTGCGCGGCTTTCTTAAAAATGAGTCACGATTTTCTTCACCAAAACGATTCCCCCGACGCGATATCCGGAAAGGGGTGGTCATTTTCAAACAGATCATAAACGAATCCCGGGCAGGAATTATCCGAGGCAAACCTCTCGGGAATTGTTCAATTTTCTGGCGTTTTGCTCGGAAAGATAGCGACGATAACGAGCGCGGTACCGTTAGCAAAGATTTGCCCAAGCCGCGACATTAAAACGTACCGCGCGGGCAAACTAGGAGAAGAAGTCGGTGACATATCGGATGTTGAATTTCAACCGATGCTCGCTGACCTAAAGACACGTATTCGCTCGGTCGTGGAAGGTTCAACATCCGTCGACGTGCTAATCGGTCTTGTTTAAACAAACTTTCGACGGCAACGCAAACATAATGGAACCCCATGTAACCGCGTCTATTCGTTTGTGGAATCTAGAAATCCTCGGCCGACTAAGGCGCACGTGTGACCCGTGTTCTCCGTATAATCGTTTAACTATCGTCCGCCTGAACGAGCCTTTCCTTCATTCATACAAACGAGACCACGCGATAGTACGCTACCGCTGCCGCATTCATTGATCGTCAATCTTGCGCTCGCCGAATTACATTCAGCATTCCCCGTCTCATTATTCAGCGTAACGATCAAACGAATCGAACTAACAAGCCAATTTCACGAATAGTTCCGTAGAAACTCGATGACCAATTGGAAGGAATCACATGGCCGGTCTCGATGAACCGCGCAGGTTCAAGGCCGGTAAAAGTTAGCCGACTTTTTTTAATGGTGCTAAGGCGGAGGGAAGTTCACGGTTGATTTTGCCATGCGCTCCACGTGCCGTCGATCGATTAGAAATTCGAGCCGCGGCCCGACGCGCTCGATTTATTCGCCAAATCGATTTTACTCGTCGCGGTCCGAGGGATGCGCGTGGCGGCCACGGGATTCGCCAAGAAACTCCGCGCGCCTCACCTTGTTCAACCGCTTCCGCCTCGTTCTCGACCTCCTCCGATTTTTCGGGGTTCTGGACGCTGTCGACGACCTCAGCCACGAAGTTGCCGGCCTGCTCGATCACCGCGCTCATCGGTGGCTCGCTCTTCTTACCGGTGACCTGCATCTCGATCCGATCGATGTCCCTGGCCAGTCTCGTTCTCAGACACGACACCGTGTTCTCCTCGTATATGCAGTTGAAAGCACTGTCATCTTCTTCTTTCTGTACCGGTTCACTCTGGACGCAAAGGGCTAGGCCCAAAATTAGTAGAGTCGACGCAGCTATCCTCTTCATGGTTCGATTCGAATGGAACAGGCTAGATTGGCTCAAAGACGCACTATCACCACGCGATATGCACAGGCCCTGGGCGTCTTCTTGTTCTCCACCCTCGGCTCGGTTTTCCTTGGTTTCGCGGTCTTGGCCTTCCGCTTTTTATATCCTTGGACCGCGTGTCACGGGCACCGAGTGGTTGTGGAAGGCGCTTCGTCGAACATATATGAGAGTCTAACCCCTTCCTTCTGGACTTCCGCCAATCAAGTTGGTCCTGTTTCAGGTGAGAACCGACCGGCATCCCCCCACTGCCATCGCTTTTCGTGGGCACACTCATTGGGCACCGAGCGCCGTGTGGTTCTCCTCAAGGAATTCTGGCCACCTCTCATGGAGCCCTAGGCCCTCACGTGAATGACCGGAGAATTCTAGCGGCCCTGCATCGGGGAGGAACCACGGCCTTCCAAAAATACCTAGGACACCTTCAAGGTAAGTGTTCCTCGTCTATTGGCCTGATTAAAACGCTTCTGTAGATGTGGACGCTCGTAACCACAGAAAATGTTATTCACCTGTCACCCCGTGCGCTCTTCCAGTTTCATTGAACCTAAAATTCATCGATGAATTTCGAGTTTCTCGCCGCTAATCGGCAATTCATACGCATAACGCATCGTGTTCGTTATAGATGAACATTTGTTGTACCGGGATCTATTTCGTTCCGACCCTTCGCTCCGTTGACCAAGTTCCATGGCTAATTACGTTCCCCTTCGCAGTCGGAGCGTCGCTGAAAATCCGTTTCCCGTTCGATGAATTTTTTATGTCGCGTCGGCGATCTTTCCCCGCATGCCACACCGAAAGCAGAAAAAAATAATGGATTTAGGATCTCGCGCGCCCGCGCGCTCGCGCGTGTAACTTGGCACGCGTGTTGGTCACGTACGTGGACCGACGACAGAAATTCCGCTTGGAACTACGACGGGATGCTAATACAACCTAATTCCGGCCATCTTTATCGTTATTTAAAGAACGAAGACACACGGAATCGTAGTGAAATCGTTACTTTCGAAACGCCACCGGATCAAAGATAACGCTCGTTTTTTGGTGCCTTCGTTACGTCGCGTTCGTAACCGATTTTCTTTTTTAAAGAATCTTTCGCTCACGGCGATCGGTCGTTGGACCATCGCGGGATTTATCGAGTCGATGTTCCTCGCACGAAACGGAACGCTATAGACCATAAACCCTTTTCATTGTTCTCCGATAATTTATTCGTTTACTAAATGTTTCCGCGCACGTTTACGACCCCGTAATTAGTAGCGAATTCAAGACGGATGTCTGGAAACGTAATTGAGACTGAATTTCACCGTTAAGGAGACATCCGCGTGGCCGGACAAGCTCGTCAAACTTCATTACAACGAGTAAAAGAGAAAATCGAAATCGCGGGAGCAAACTGCTGGTCCCAGCAGAAAAATCCGCTTTTGAGTTTGAATAGTTAATATCCGTCAACCGGTTAATTAATATTTCTGGGTAGAAACTTTGCTGACAACAACGGTCAACTTTAAGTCGCTCCTTAACTCTTGTCAATTTCACGTGAGTCTGCAATTTCCAAAAAATTCTCGCGTTGCTGCTGCCTTTTTACCGGTCAAACTAGATTTTTTTGCGGAACGAGTTTCGCTTGCTGATCCGGGCCAAACGTTAGAGCCATAGGCACCGAAAATTGTGTCACAAACGTGCGAGCATGGGAGTCGGGGTTAGCTACCAGGAAAGTGAAATTCATCGATGATTAATTCAATCTTTATTTGGAGTCCGTTGTTCGCATTTAAATACATGGCCCGAGCATAACACTCGGATCTCTCACGACCAATACCATAAGAAAGAGTATCCTTTGAGACCCTGGCTCTCCGCTGTCCCGTTGGCTATGGGAACGAACGAAATGTTGGGCTGATGACCGAATTCGTTTGACAGATACTTCACCCGTGTGTCGACACCATTTTCACTTTGCGCTCGATAGCTGCCGTCCTTCGCGCCATTCCTGAACCCATCTTCCTGGTGTTGGTGAGACGTAATCGTGTAATTGAAACGATAGAACAAATCGTTGTCCTCTTTCGACGGAGATTTCTTAGTAGCATTCCCTGCGTTCCTCTCGGGCACGTTCAACAAACTCTTTCCTCTCCTCAGACTTAAGGAATCTTTGGAATTTTCGGGGATTTTGTTTCTTTCTTGGAACGGTTTCTCTTTCGATGGCGATTCACCTATGGAGTCAACGAATACACGAAGAGAAAAAAGATTGAAAGCACTTTTACATTAATTTTCGTTATAATCTTTTAAACGAGACCACTTCGTACCAAGCTTTCCGCTTTCCACCAAGGTTTTAGTCATCTTTTCCAAAAGCGGCCCCAAATTTGCTCGAGAAGTCGTTGTTTCAGTTGCTGGAGTAGTTCGCGCGGTGTCAGCCATCTTGTCGGCTTCTATAGGAATCTTGCAGCCGCCGCAAGCCTTCGCGACAGCTTCCACCAACTTCTTCGCGGCTTCCGGCCTGTCTTTGAATATCTCCAACGCATCCTTCACTTGTTAAAATAAAATCAGTTCGTTCAATCGGACCAGTGGAACGTCTCGCACGAGTCTAATTCAGAAACTCACGACTGGTGATCTTTCTGTATCTCATTCTGGTGATAATGAAATCATCATTCTCGTCCGTCGTGTATGCAGTTTCATGATACACGCCGTCCCCAGTTATAAATCCGAATTCGCCGGTGATGATTCCGTCGGCGCCTCACAAAATAATTCCAATTAATCCCTGTTTTTGAAATACTTAATTCCTGACTCACCTTTTTTCTCAAATCGGTGCTGGAAATCAGTGATATTGAAGGAAAACTCGTACGGTTGGTCCTTCGTGTCAGATTCAGCGGCCATCCCGAAATTTCCTAGCAAAAGGTAGCAAAAGAAACACAGAACCCCGACATTCATCTTCGAAAATGATTTCGATCAATGGATAAGACGTCTCAATGTGCTCTTCGTAGCTCGACGATCGCGGTACTGAATGAAAAGGACGATTAAAACGTTCGATCATCGAACGGTGACGCAACGAAACGAGAAAAATGCTTTCCCGCCGGGGAGAAGAGGAAATCGTGGAATCCGCTCGGCGGAAAAAATCCAACGAGCCAGACGAGGATTCACGACGCTCGCTTTCACGCGTCCCGCATCTTCGAATAATTACGGAGGGACGTGGAACGGCCGTGAATCGTAAATCCTCGCGGTGGATCGTCCGAGGGATTGTTCGCTGCGTCGTAAAACCGCGAGTCGTTTGTCCGAGCCTTCCTCCGAGGATCTCCCGTTTTAAATGATCTCTGCCCGCGTCCAGCAGTAAATAACTGTCGACGAAATATAAACGGAGTTCTTTGTAAACCGTGGGTTTCATGAGACTCGATCTAAATCGTAAACGATCGTTCACATCTAAAGATATTCATCGATGAATTTCAAGGCGAACCTCCGATGATCCTCCGACGGGCTATCCATTGTAACGTCTCCGTCAAACGTTACAGCCTGGAGATTTTTCTCCGATGTCAGTGGATCGTAATCAATCGACGTACCGATCTTAATGGCTTCGGTAATCTAACGCAAGAATCGTCTGTAATGGCGTTCATAATGTCAGCGCTATGTAGCTGGTAAATGTACTTTAAAGAATAGATAAATCTCGGTGAAGGTATCGATCAAGTTAATAAATAGTGGGTAGAGCCAGAGTACGATCGGGCAGAAGTAATAAGCGTAACTAATTAATATCGTCGAGGTTTCTTGTACAGAATCAAGATTCGACGTGATCGTCGATTAGTGTCCTTTGTTCTAGTCAATTCGCGTTGCGCTCTCTCGGTTTCGTAATGATTAATCTAAGAAATTTATGTTAGCATCTCTCGGTTCTTTCACGACGAAAACCCGCGATTCAAGGCGTGGGACTAATTAGAAAGGCGACTGATTGGTTTCTGTAAAAGCGGAATGCTTTCACGTCGACGCTCTAAGCTAGGGTATGCAAAGATTAGGCCCGACTCGGCTGGCGAACGTATTCGCGACGTATTACGCGACGTGCATCGTGCATTTTGTAGTTTAGAAAACGGTACAGCACACGGCTCGGTATGGGGAGGTGTCGATATAGGATCGATGGCGGACGGCATACTAACGCGGCACAATGGACAATCGGTAGGTGGGTTTCTGGCACGTATACGCACCGCGAATATCGAGGCCTCGGACGATAAATCCTACGTCGACGGGACTTTCGTTACGTGCCCCTAACATCGATCCAAAAATTCCGCGGTCACGATCACGTTCAATTGCATCGTTTCCGCGGAAAGGTACAGACAACCCCCGCATAACTGTTTCGCTTTGACATGGTTCGGGAATTGGAGAGAATTTTTTTAGACTTAAGGAATGATATTTAATATTTTTGATTAATAACTGTTATTTTAATAAATATATATCTCTGTATTATAAAATGACAATGCTATATGTTTTAACTTTTCGGACCTAATTCGTTCGGAACTTAGCTCTTTGTTTCCTGTAACACAGATTCGCATAATACGGTACTTTTTAGGTACCTAACGATATATAGTGTTATACGGAGGTCGCCTGTATTTGCGTCCCACTTCCTTCGTTCTTTCCTTGAAACGCGTGTTCTGTTAGTCGCGATGCAAAAACGCATCGTAATTTTCCCGTCTGCCGATTCCCAGTACGCATCGAGTCGAGAGGACCGACGAGACGCGACGACCGGTGTTCTCGGAACAGCCAAACGAAATCGATCGGTATTATATTAATTTCGATTTCGACGTTGAATTAAACGACCGAGAAAAGGGAAAACCGGCACGGCGTCGGAGTCGATCGCCACAGAATCTGGACCGAAATGCCGTTACGCGGGGCCCGAAGTGGGTCACTAAATATCCCCCGTTTTGTGCGCCTCGCGCCGGACACTGGTGTTCCCAGACCCGACATAAATTAATAGCCGATCGGATATTACGTGGAGTAGTCGTAACAGTCTTGATCAGCTGTATATTTCCTGTCGCAGTTACAAATCGTACAAAAATCAACAGCCACTTTGAAATTTTCGATCCGACCGAGTATCACAGCACGAAATTTCGTCGCAAATCGAACCAAAACGTGTTCTGACAGCTGAATAGTTTGGTAAAGAGACTCGAAATGTTCGTTCAATGTCCCGACGAAGAGACAACTTCGAGGTTCATCTTCCCAGCCATCCCTGGTCGTCGTCTTCCGGTTGATGATAACTGTGATAAAAGTGCTCGTGGTATTCGGGCTTATGGACCAGGACTACTTCCGATTGCTGCGAGTTCTTGAACAGGTTGTAAAGGATCAATACCAGCGCGAGTTTCCCCACGATGATGCTTCTGATTAGGCTGAATTTGATCGAAGCGAGGGTTGCTGGCAGCGACATGATCTGCAAGTTAGAGTATGTCAGTGATACGAAGTTTCATAGAAAGCTTAATTACCATTTAAAGCTATCAAACCTGTATGATCACTGGTAGCATCATCAGCCCTGAACTAATCCTCTGTATAATCTTCTTGATCTTAAACCGACCCGTGTCCCTTCGGTCGATTTCGTTCTCTAAAAAAGGTTTCACGCATCCGCAATCTCCTCGCAGCAATTTCTAAAAATATAACTCACCTTCCAGCAGAGCTGACATGCTTATAACAACACTGCTCTGATTGTTCGAGAAGTGGAACCTGATTCCTCGAGATACACTAAATTCCAAATTCTCGTTTTCATCCTGATCGGCTCGCGCGAGGTCATTGACCGCGATCGTGAAGCAAAGCCACCAAACAAGGGCTTCCGGTCCATTCATGGCTTCAAATCATACGTCACTCGGTAAATCGACGTCTAAAATAATGAAATTCAATCAATTCGTTGTTCTCCTCGAATCACTCCGACCTCCCAATTAAATCCGAAAAGCTTCCCGACGGCTCAATCCGTTTTCTATTACCGTCGTTTCGATTTCTCCCGTGCATCGAGCGCAAAATCTAAATACATACCAAACACCGTTACTCCCTGAATCGCGTGATACGAGCGCTGCCATGTACTTATGACCACTGTTTCCTCACTTCCGGCGACACTGTCGATCCAGATCACTCCGAGAAACCATTTGTCCCTGTTCGCCGGACACTCGCGAGAAAACTGACCGATTTTCTTCTCGATATTTGGTAAGCGGTCGCGGACGCGCGTGCCGGTTGCCGCATCTAGGACTACTGGTCCGCCGATCTGCCGAGCGGAGAGAAGACATTTTTCCTTTTTTTTCGTTCTATTCCCCACTAAAGCCAGGAAACTGGGTCTGTGCAGTCTGTCGGCGCGCTTCACGTCGTGGAGGGTGTAATGCACGCCCGGTTGGCCGGCGACTACGAGCGGATGCAACGGACCTTGAACCGCGGAAAATTTAATCTCCGGTAATGGCTCGCTGTAATGGCTGTTTTCGATTTTCGACGATCGATAATCGAAATTGAACGCGGCTAGTGTATCTAGGACGACGCTGACAGAACAACAGAGAATGGCGCTTGACAATGACTTTAATAAATAATATTCTACGACGATATACAGTGATTCATAAATAAATAATATGAAGCCGCTTCTTATGGTTAAGTTTCTTGTCTACTGAGGTATATGGTCACTCCTTCATCCTTTCGTTCCCGAAACGTTTCATAATAAAAAATACACGGTGGTTGTATAATACGAAATTCTAAATAATTACAGTGGGAACGAGAAGGTCGAACTTAAACGTCTAAGATTTTGGTCCTACGATTCGATCCAGCTGTCCGACAGGGGATAATCTACTTGCTAAGAATTCTAATCGAACCCGTGGACGCTCGATCGATGCTAATTATAATAAATATTTCGCCTAGAATCGTCGTTACGACTTATATTGTTCCTTTGGTTCGCGAGAAATGCTTGCAGAGGCCGAGAACCTCTCGGATCGACGTGTTTACGATCTGTTTGATCGTCGATATAAATAGTTCGGGAGGAAACCGCAACGGCGGCCGTCCCATTCGCGGCGGGAAAAAAATGGTCGATAGAGAAAAGGCGATATCAGGATGTACGATAGCCTGGTTCCATTTGTGGTCGTCGTTCGTACGATATTCTCATCTGCGGGAGAAATGACTCCTTATTATCCCCTATAATAATAATGTTCGTCGTTCTCTGGACCGCTGTGCGGCATCCAGCCGCTGTACGCCTGGTTGTGAGCATATGGCGGTGCGTTGTGCACGTGCACGTGGATCGGCTGAGGTGTCGTGTTCTGGTGCCAACCGGATGCAAACTTCGCTATTATCGTGCTCAACTTGAGCACCAACAGAGTGACACCTGCAATGGAATTAGCGTTAATGCACTGGCGAATTAATTGCAGTTTAAGTCACAGTTAATCTATCGAATTATTCTTTGGCAGGGATCAGGTATTGCATTGGTCGAGCGCTGAAAATTCTATGGAGTTAGTGATTCATTAATAATTGGAGTAATTAACATTTCTGTCTGATAGTAGTAATAGTACAGTAATAATAGTAAAATAGTAATGAATTCCAGCATTAATACAATCATTATTTCCATAAGAATTCCGAACCTCAGGTCAATGGTATTATGTTGTTCAACTTTTACGAAACAGCTGATACGCTCGGAAGCCAAGTACGCGTAACGATATTAACATTACAGAAAATAAAAGAAAGTGGGCCCTCTATTAAAATTCGGCACAGCGTAAGGGTCCCATGGAAACACAATATCGATAAATGGAACGATATCACCTGATTCCGTATGCGTTAGGTGTACATACCATGCTCGCACCGTTACTTTTTCGTACAGGACACATTGCCCCATAATTGGTGCTTACCGATCAACAATCCTTTCAGCGAAATCACCGTCAACACCGTCAGCATTGTCATCATCACTCCCATTTTATACACCATCGGCATTAGCATGAACTGTATCCGCTTAACGCCAAACGTTCTAGCTTGTCTGTCCGTCGATTCTGAACATTTTAAAATTCGATCAATCACACGATACACAATATCCAAGAACAAGTTATCCAATTCATATTTCAAATCAAATATTCCCCAAACTTCGCATCTCCATAATATATTTCAATCCTTTATACTCGAAAATTATAACACTAAAACTACCGAGCACTTACATTGTCTTTCCAAAATTCCTCTATAAAAACTTCAAGAGTGCATCTATCGAGACTCTAATTGCCTTATAATTCAGTTCGCGTATCGCTAAATCAATTCCTTTAATAATCCCTCAGAGAAACATCTGCCTTTTTAATAATTGCAAAATGAAGAAATCAGGAATGACTCATTTTGACCCGTCTGGTAGTTTTAATGTTAACATCCCATTTGCTATGTCCTTTCGAAGGTACAGTCGCGTGCGAAGGGTAAAATTACTGTAAGCTCGTAAACTCACCTTGAACCTCGTTCCCTCCATCGAATAATTCATCGAAGAACTCCCTGACCAGCCGAACATCGGGATCCACCGCGACGTCCTTGGGCACCGGCAAAAGTTTCGTGACTTGGTCGCGTCCAGGTTGGCCGTGGTCCAGCGGCGCAGCGACGCCAACGCTCTCGAGGCTCGCGGTGCACGCGCATTTCGAAAAAGTCGCCGCGGCGAGCAGCACGCACGTCACCGTCCAACCAATCGGCTGCATTATCGAACCGGTTGCCACGCGATCACGTGATCCTGCTCATCGGCTCCGGCTGGTTCACACGGAGAACGGATTCCCTTGAATTCGGACACGGATCCAGCCGACCGGCGAAAGGAACCACGAATTCGAGGGACGTGTTAATCGAGCCCGCACGAGCCACCGTATGATTCGGGCGAGCGGCCACGGCGCCGTTCGAACTCAAAAGAAGGATCGACCGGCGTGTGCGCGGTAGATCTGCGCATCGGCTGAATTTCCTCGGCGGCCAGCGATTTCGTGGACGCGGCTTGAAACACTTTTCGAGTGCGTCCAATAGAAGATACCGCACGGCCTGAGACATAAGCGCCTCGTTACCTTTCCAGGCACGCGTGCCTTTTCATACGATCGTTGGTAATCCCGTAATACCTTTCCGGCCTAAAACTTCTCCATCGGGATCGCCGGGTAATGGTTTTAGAGAGGAGGTTAGACGCCTTAGCAGGCGAACATTCTCCAAGAAAATTTTTCGACGAACGGGCGATTGCGCGGCGTTCCACTTTCCGTATCACTGTCACGGTCATTGTCCCGCGGAAACGTGTGCTAGCCGCGTTCCCTGGAATTCCCTCGCGGTGAAGCGTCGTTACACGATCCTTCCCTCCGGCGCGCCGGTCCAGCGCAACCGTCGCCGATGATGAACAGCCTACTTCGCCCGTTGCTTTGTTTGAGCACGCTTTTAATCGCCGCGCGACCCATTAATTACGAGCGAATCGAAAGTCCGCTTCCTCACCGCGAAGTTAATGCAACTGGTTCGTAATCTCGACGGTAATCGCGGCAGCTAACGACTTTCCCAGCCAGTCGACAGCTCGCTGACCTCTTCACGCGTCGTTTCGCGAATCGCTAACCACCGTTTTTACCGCGGCGGTCGTTGAATAAAGAGACAATTGGACGATGCAATGAACATCAACCGGTGGGAACGAAATTTCTCTGGCTCCCTCCCCGTAGAAACCGAGAGCGCAGCGTCTACGAGCGAATCCCTGACGCAAATCATAAACCAGTCGCGAGTCGCACTTTCGTTGCCGGTTATGACCGGTAAGATCGGCGTACCCATTGTGAACGCAGCTTAAGAGCAGCCTACCGCACGCTGAATAAAAGGAAGAAACGCGGTACAGGTTTACTGGCTTTGCTCGGTGAAGGCGGCGGTGGTAGGAGAGAAGAAGAGCTCGAGGATGGTAACGAATGGCGGTGGCCATCTTGGAAAATAATGCGCGTCGTAAAAATTCTTTACTCTGCCGCGGGTTGCTCCTTTTGCTCCCTGGCCGCCGGACCCTCCTAGTCCTCGATTCCCTCAAGGACTAAAAATACAACCCCTTGCACCAGAACCAGAAAGGCCGTATCGAAGACGAACCTGAAACCCGGCCTGCACTTTGTTCGTGCTGCGTCTCTTCGCGTCTGCCCCTTCTCCCCCTTCACCGTCTTCTTCCTTTTCGTTTTAACGAGAGTACATAACGCGGGGAAGGTTCGAATAGTTCTAAAGATGAAAAATGAGACCGGAGGAATCTCCACCGTGGAAACGGTCGATTCGCTGCTCCAGGGTTGACAAGAGTTTTCTTGAAATCGATTAGATGCCGTGAATCAGCTTCCCTAGGGACCTGTAATCGAGGGTTCATATTTTCTATCGTAACCCTTGATTGGATTTCTGTGTAGAAAATCGCTGGAATTTCGATTCTCTGCACCGATAACGGCATCCCTTCGAAGATCGCTCGTAATCCGACCACCTGACTACGCCATCGGGTATTCTTGAACCCAGGGGGCCAGTTTTTCTCGAATGATCATCCGTACCGGTCAATGTATGTCGCTCTAAGAAGGACAGCGGATAGGTCGAGAGACCTGGCCGAAGAGAAACGCGGTACCGAGGATGAGGGGCAAATGACCGGGTGGTTTGTATCGCAGGCGCTGTTCGTACTAGATCTCGCGCTGGAAGGCGAGCCATGCTATTTTCCGAGCTCCAGTGCTTCAAGGTTAATTGGCCCATTACCGTGTTAGTTGTGAAGAGAGATAGAAGTAGACACTGGTAGCAGTTCCCTAGATTGTTTTCATTATTCGAATTGTTCGGAATTCGATTCGAACTAAAGTATCTAGTAGACGATCATCGTCGTCCTATTTGCTAACAGTTTCATCTTCCGTTCTCCAACTTTAAACAACTCCCTACAGCTATCAATGATGCGTAATTCCACTGTTAAACGACTTGCCATGCAGGAGAGAAATAATTGCTCCACTTCGAACAAGTTTCGCGCAGGAAAGATTCCGCGAATCTCGATCGCGACGGGTTGACCGCAGCCATGCGTCCGAGCTAAATGCATCTACACCCGTTAGACCGTGAACCCGATCCTCCGGCAACCCTGCGCAGGCATGTAGGGGGGCAGCGTAAAAATGGAAATGCCCCGGCGGTTGCCTATCCACACAGTCTCGCGATTCCCCGCGTCTCGTTGGTGGAGCCCGTGCGTGCACTCTCACGGGCATCTTCGTTCTCCAACGCGCGCGGGCGATGGTATGTGTATTACCATACCTTCCCGGCTATGGTTGACCATAGACCGGCTCAGAAGTGGCCGAGACATTCGCCTCTCGACCGCGACCATGAGAGCACTCAACTCGCGACGCCCACAGCTTACGAGTACTCGCTTCTGCCTGTTCCCTCGTCCCTTCCTCTGTCTTCTCGTGGTGCTGTTCGTCGTTCACGGTGGCCGAACGCGCAGCGTGACTCGCGATGAACAGCTCTTGGTCCAGCCCGGGGGCAAGCTTTCGCCAGTCGAAAGTGAACGCGACGTACCCCTAACTTCGCCGAGCACGGAGGAGGACAGTGCGCCGGGTCAAGTGCGGGACAAGCTGCTGAATCCGGGGAGCGATGGCATTGAAAATGAAAAGGTCCAGCCTGAGGAACCGGGGAGTGTCGAAGGGAAGATTCCGCAGCCGAAGGTTTCCGCCGATCGGCAGCTGCAAGAGGCTGGCCAGGACAACACCGAGCAGCTCGCTGATCAATACACGCGAAAGGACGCCTCGCCGGTCGACCAGGAGCTCGACGCTGAGAAAAAGGAGGCAGAGAAGATCGACGAGGCAAAGGCGCCCGTAGCTAAGATCGGCGTAGATGCTGAGAGTAGCGAGATCTTGAAGAAAGAGGACGAAGAAGCGACTGTGGCTAAGAAGAGGAGACGAAACGACGTGGCTCTCGCTGGGAAATCCGATGTTCATGGGAGCGAACAGATTCCAGTGGAACGACTCGACGTGGTAAAGGACCAAGGGATCCGCAGGTTCGACGTGCAAGTGGACGACGGAGGTGTTGCTGAGCAAGACAATATTGGAGTCAACAAAGCTGGTGCTCGTCAATTGGTAAATCCTGAACAAGTGTTGGAAGAAATAGTAAAAGCAGTCTTTAAGGAGAAAGAGTCTGCGAGAGCGGTTGAACCTTCTCAAAAGGTGAATCAAGAGGAAGGTCATGTTCAAGGGGCTGAGGAACTCGGCGAAGAGCTTCCGAGTTATTTCCGTAAATCTGTACTGATCGATTCTGATCAGGAGAAAGAGGATGCCAGCTCGGAGGATAACGTCGACGAGGACGAAGAATCGACAAAGAACAGAGGTCACAGGTATTTGGACGATCCTCAGAGTAAATCGAGACGCAAGAGCTCTACCGTCTACTTGAGCGCCGAAGAGAAGAAGATATCCGATGGAGAACAGCAGTCGATCGTCGAGGGGCAAATCAAGAAATTGATATCGATTCGGGACGACGCGCTGGACGCTCAGAAGGTGGACAACCTGGACGAAGCCAAGGTTCTGACATCCAAGCGACAGGCTGGATTGGACGAGGCCGCGTTCACACAGGAGGACGTCCAAAGCGAGCAAGGAAACAAGGTAAAGGCTATTAAAGTATTTAACCTTAGACAATCTATAGGGAGCACTAGCGTTTTCGATAAATGGAAGCAGCAGGCTGTGGCGCTCCAGGATCAAATCAGAAACAGAACGTCCTTGCTCCGTTTGAGGGAGCAATCTACCGAAGTACTTCCGGAAATACCGAAATTCACGGAGATCCAGTTGCTGGATATATTGGAGCAAATCGTGCTTTCGAAACGAACAGAGCTCGCGAACGATTCTTACGCGAGTATCATAAAAGACCTCGACCTGACCGACAGGCAGCTGCGAATAATCAAATGCGCCGAGCAATTGCTAGCAGTTCGCGAGCGACAGTCCTTCATGAGCAACGTGGTGGAGTGTATTCAAGGGTTGAGCGTGCTGAACTGCTTGAGGATCTTCGTGTGGCCAGTCATAGTGGACAATCTCCCGCAAAACGTTGTCCAAAGTTTCGACAACTTACCGATCGAGGTAAACGTGTTTGACTTGTTTCAGGGAAACAGGCCAAAGTCGGGCAGGGCGCAGAACATTCAGCAGGTCAGGCTGATCACGCCGGAGTCCGTTGTGTACAACATCCTGCAGGATGCACTAGAAGCTTATCCTAACGACGAGACATTGGTGTCGTACATCGACCCGAAGAACGAGACGCTGAAAGATCTCCTCAGCTCCAATCAGCTGGACATCTTGCAGATGGCGGAGAAACTGCTGCCGCCGGCTTTGCGCCGGGAGTACTCCGACAGCATGTTCTCCTGCGTCAGGAGGTTCGAGTACTTCAGCTGCGTCAAGTACTTTGCCTGGCCCATGATCAAACAATACTTCCCAGCACTGCCCGCATTCCCCGACTATCAGAGCTGGTATCCTATCTTCGACTTGTATCCACAATACCCTATTCTCCCATTCCCCACCCTCTCGGGAGACGTAGGCGAGTTGCCGGAAGTCGTGGACGCGGACGCTACTCGATCAAGAAGACCCAGACCCGAAGCGGTAATCATTCAGGTTCTTCGGAATACCTTGAAGGAACAGCCACGGTTGTCGGTTTCGCCGTCTTTCCTGGACCAATTCGCTGATTCTTACATCGCTCTGATGCCTCAGGACCAACTAACGGCTATTAATATGGCTGAGCAACTGATCCCAGTCGCGTATCGCCCGGAATTTGTTCAAAAAACGGTGCAATGCATGAAAGAATACAACTATTTGACCTGCATCAAGTATTCGACCTGGCCCACTGTTAGACGATTCAACCCTAATTTGCCGGACATCTCTGGACTACTGCCAGATTTCCAAGTCCCAGAATACATCACCAGGCTTTCTCTCCAGAATTTAGGACCGTACTGGCAGTTCGGAGGCTCTTCGGAGCAGCCGGGGGTTCCTGCAATCGTATTGGTGAAGAATCTTTTGAACACGTTGCAGTCTTCCAGCAAATTAGAAGAGGAGATCATCGTATTGTTGTTGAAGGTCCGAGAATCCGGCTCCAAGTCTCAGGAAATACCATCGCTCGTTTTTGCCGAGAACATGCTGACATTCGCAAGATTCTCGACGGCCCAGCTCGATATTCTGCGATTAGCCGAGTCCCTCGTACCAGCCGTTGCTAGGCCAGGTCTGATCACTGAAGTCATCGTGTACCTGCAGAGGAGCAACAACTTCATCGAGTGCGCCAAATACGTGATATGGCCGACAATCGCTAGATATGTGCCCAATCTACCAGAGTTCCCTTCGCTGGAGAACAAAAAAGAATCGATTAACTTGGTGCTGCCAGCCACGGTACTGAAAGAGCCGGCAAACAATCCTAGCGTGAAAACCAATCGTTTCCAGGATGAATCTAGGAACAAGGCGCAGCAGAATGTTCCGACGATCAGCGTGACCGACATCAGGTTCAGCCCGATCTTCACCGAACATCCGGAGACCGTGATACTGAACATCGTTCGTTCGGTTCAGCTGCAATCAGTCAATTTGAATCGCGGGCCTGTCAGAACGACGTCGCCGATCAACAGTGCATTATACAGTCTTATTAACGAGCAACAGCAGAACATCGTGAGAATCGTGGACAGCCTGATACCGGATAGTATTCGCACGGACTTCACGGACAGTCTGATCTCTTGTCTTCAAATAAACGATTTCCTGACTTGCACCAGGGATGTGATCTGGCCGACTTTGTCCAGTTACTTCCCATGGCTGCCCAACTTCCCGAACTTCGGCACTACACCCAGCCCTCCTAACAACAGTTCGTCCACAAGCGATTCCAAACAGAAACTAACGGACCTAAGTTCCAACAAAGACCCTCCGCCTCTATCAGAGACAGACGTGACGACTGGACAACATGGGGACACAACTGTAACCATCACGGACACCAGATTCGTTCCAATCTACAATGAACTCCCCGAGACGGTGATAATGAACATCCTGAAAGCAGTGCATCTCTCTCTTCCTAATCAGCCCGGTTCCCCTGCTCCAATAAGGAATCAAGAATTTCCGAGTACCCTGACGGAGCATCAATTACAGATCATTCAGCTGGCAGAAAACTTGTTGCCCATTCCGGCTCGAGCGAACTACCTCACGAAGATCAGATCTTGCATGAGAAACAAAGTCTTCCTTGAGTGCACCAGGGACATCACTTGGCCGGTGATCGCCCAGGCTTACCCGTGGCTACCGAATTTCCCCAATTTCGGCGTCAATCAGAACATACCGGGGATCAGATTGCACATGCTACTGTCAGAGAAATCACAAGGATCGGATATAGAAGCGCAGCCGTCTCGAGAGAGCCTTAAATCTGGCGGAGTCGTGTTGCTGGAAGCTGAAGAGAGAATAGAGGACGTTTTGTCAAATGCTTTGAAGAAAAGCCCGAAGCTGGATCGAGCGAAGCTGGACGCTAGCGACTCTGGTCTTTCCCACCTTACCAAGCGACAAGAGAACATTGTGAAGCTGGCTGAATTAGGGATCCCGGATTCAGCTCGGCCGACGTATGTCGCGAGAATACAGGAATGCACGAAGGGCTACAACTTCGTCACATGCATGCAGAGCATCGGCTGGCCCACGCTGAAGCAGTATCTGCCTTCGTTGCCGGACTTCTCCGAAATCGGCGCGTTGCTTCCGCAGTTGCCTCCGATATCCATAGACCCAATCCCTCCGCTGCCAGATCTCGGTCCTATTCAGACTATTCCAGGAATCTCCGAGCTGCCTAGCGAAATTCCCCAGTTGGTCCCGCAAGTCTTAGGGTACTCCGCGCAAGGAGCCGGGAACGCGCAGCTGTTCGCATCGGAGAACCAGGGAGCACCAGCGTTTACGCCGTCAGTAGGTGAATCTATTAGAGTTCGAGGCTCGGCGAAGTGATCCGGGTGATCTCTGACCGTGTTCTGTTTGCAGGTAACGAAGGAACAATTCCGGGGTACGCAGGCCAGCCGCCAGGTATTCTCATAGACATCTCGAAGGAGAAGGTGCAGCTGTCCGACGTCGTCCAGTCGCGAGCAAACGCGAAACAGTCGAAGAACAGAGGGCGCAGAAGCTTGGAATTTATGAGCACTTATTACAAGATGGACGAAGCACCTGACTCCTCGGATTCGTCTTCGACGTATCCGAACATCACGGAATCCGAGTATCTTCAGCTTTTGATCAAAATGAGGGAGAACCCGAGAGTAGGTGGCAAAGCTTCCTCGGAATCGAAGAAATACTTCGCTGACACTTTGAACGCCACCATCAGAAATTCTCTGACTGCCGATCAATACGAGATCGTGAAGATCGTTGAGGAAGTCGATACAGAGAAAGGCAGAGGGCTTGCTCAGCAGATCATTCAATGTATCACCGGTCTAAGTTTCATCAGATGTGTGGGTATCTTCGTTTGGCCCATGATCGTCAGCAACTTTCCCATTCTTGGTATCCTTGGACGATCATTGGACACGGAGAACCAGGTACAAGAGTTCTTCGGCATGTCTACTAGCGATTTTGAGAAAGAGATGCTGGAGAGGAAAGGCACCATTGAACATTTCCTGTTGGATTGGTACAAGAAGGTGGTCGAAGACAAATTCCAAACGAACGTGGGCTTCTTGAAGATCAAGGGCTACGGCAATGGCGAATTGGGGATCAGCTTCTCGGGTTTTAGGGAAGGTAGAGGTGCGAAGCTCAAGGATAATAAAAATCTTCCTAGCATACTAACGATCATCAGCGATATTATGGAGGAAGTCCTAGACCAGCGCCCCGAAATCGAGAAGCCGAAGAGAGAAAAGGAGAAGAGGGAAAAGAGCATTGATATTTCTAGAGAGGGTGAGATCCAGTTCTTAAAAGACAGCGAAGAATACGTTGACATTAAAAGATCTATGAACGACGATGAGATTATCACGATGTTCTTGGACAAGATCAAGTCTAACGATTCCGACTCAGACGGAGACAGCGAGAAGTATTTCGGTCTGGAAGATGCCTACAACGCTTTCGGTGTCCTCTTTGGTCCTCAAATGCACAGCAGACTCGCTCACAAATTGCAGAGCTTTGATCATCAATTGAGATCCTTAGAAGAGACCGGTTCGACTGAAGCAAACAAGGATGTAGAAATCGTGTCTCTGGAATCTCAAGATCCTCAAAATTCTGAGCAACTAAAGGTACTACCCTTGAGGAGTCAGGTGGCATACGATCTCGAGAAAGAGTCGTCAAGGGATCAAGAACAGATGCGAAGGCAGAAAAGAGCGAAGAACTTCTTCAAGTCTCTCCTGGAGAAGCATCCGAGTAAGCATCTAAAAGAATCCATTGAGGAGAGGCTCGAAGACGTGGAAGACAATAAAATCATCGACGATCCGCAGGAGAAGGACAAGAAATCGAGTCTAGTAGTAAAATTGCCACGACTGGACGACGAAATTCTGCCGAAGAAAATGACCAATTCCATGGTACACTTGGGCAGGGCCATGAAGAACAAGATGGTGCAGATGATGCCTGGTATAGGGCTGGTCTTGTCGTTCTTGATTCAAATGGCCGTGGCGCACGCGCGGGCGGCTGCTTCGATGGCTGGAATGATCAGCAACATGGCTATGGGCTCGGCGATCATCGGGATGATCCGCGACTCGTTCTTCGGGGCGAACAATCATCCGCAGATTAAGTACGTTTACGATAATCATAAGACAGGGCCGGGCATCACCTGGCCCTCTAACTATGGGTCCGACTCTTATTATCATGGATAGTAGGCCAATCGAATCCTCGTGATCGAGACCGAGTTGTCAGTTTTAAGGTGCACTTCGCAAACTTATTAACCGACCAAGATCTTTCGAGTACCGCGTTCGACGTCGTTGAAATTCAATTCGCTGGCTGTAGCAGTAAGCATAAACGTCGAGTATTCGGGGACTTCTAAGCGTTCGCTTCTTTGGGATGGCTCGATGAAATACCGCGCGCGGTTTTGCCGATGGGACGCGTCTCTCCGCAGCATGAGGGTTCTAGGGTAAATGATAGCGACTGTACTACTCCCGTAGAATCGTAGTTAACGCACGGCGCTTGGTCTACTAGGGTTAAGAGGCAACTGTAGATCGTTCTAGAGTTCGTCGTTCGTTTTCCGCGAAGGCTGATGTTGAACAGTGAACGTTTGATTGGGCTAGCTTTAATTATCTTCCGTACACGGCCGACGACGATCGTCGTCGCCGCCGCCGCCGCCGCTCTCCCTTCATCTTCCTCAGAATCAGGTATTCTGCGTTGCTCAGGAGTTGATCTCTGAAAGGAATGCGGGTCTAATTGATCAGTTCTTATCAGTTCTGATCTCATTCCCAATGTTAATTTGCCCTTCGCCGATACGATCTCGTGAGCAACGAAGAGTATCTCCGCGTAGACTCGTTAGAAAGCACGGACTACAGAGACTCGATTGTTTAGTTTTAGGGATGAATCGCTCGGGTCCTGTTCACTTCGTTCGTTCCTATTTGGGTGTATTCCGCGAAAACACGGGTGACGGGTTACAACACGCTGTTTCTTCCATTACACGCTATTCCTCTTATCGATCTCTATATACTCGATCCGCTCAATAATAACGCAACGACCCTGCCCACCGTAGGCTCGGGATATTATAAAACTCTTAGCATGTAAGGCAGCCAAGCGGTTGGTTCTACGTTTCGAGAATAAAACGTCTGGGAATCGAAGCCTCCTTCGGTCTCCTTTTAACCCGAACGATCCTCGATTCAACCACCTCCCCGATCCCTCTCCACCATTGCCCCTCGAGATAAGCGTCTCGAGAGACGCCGGGCAACGTAATTGCTCCTCGGTACACGCTCGGAAAAGAGAAGAAATAAAAGCACGCGAGAAACCGAAGGAGAAGAAAGGACCCTCATTGAATCCTGCTGGCCACCGGCAATCGGAAACCCGACGAGCGGGGCCTCAAGGACCCGCAGGGGCTCGCCTCGAAAGGTCAGGGTTAAGATAAGTTCGAGATTATTCTCGGTCCGCGAGCGACCCGCGCGTCCCACCACGCTGAACGTTTGTTTCTTTCTTTACCCACCTTTTTACCAGCTGCATGCGACCGGACGTCGCATCTGAACGCGATCGAAGCCAGCCAGGATCACGTGATCACGTGCGTTGAACCCTTCGATCCTCAGGGGTGTCGCGAAAAAAAGGGTTTCGCGTGCGCGATTACTTTGGACTGGATGTACGCACGCTAACATTTGTTTAAACAACTTCGTCTGGTCGTTTAACAGTTTCTGTCGTGTACTCTCGTGTCAAACGACCGAAAAGAATAAAACAAAAGAGCCAGTTTGTCCGCGGATATTATACTGAATGAGGGAGAACCGTGTTAACAAGCTTCGATACACGAGGGGGGATTAATTTACCGCGAACTGGTTTCTTTATTCGTTCCTTCTGGATACAGTGATTCTGGTTAATGGAACTTGACATGTATCACGATAGCAACAGGGGGAGCACCGATGGAATCTCTTCTCCCTCGGCTGATCTCGTGCCGTTTTCTTCTATCAGCTCTATCGAGTACGGCAGCTCGTTCAGATAGAACCTGCAGGAATGTATAAAAGAAATCGTGTAATAGGACTGTTAATGGACCTCGGTTATTGAGAGCGTGACACCACCATTCATCCGCGTGCTCGCAGTCGACCAACGCTTCGTCCGTGCAGACGCGTTCCTTTTGATCGAACACCGTGTTGTTTGGACAGATCACGGGGAATCCTTTCCCGGAGTCGTCGCACGCGTGAAAAACTCGGCAATCGTAGTCCGGGTCGGCGTACAAGCCGATCGGTCTGTCTTCGCAGGAGAACCGGAACGTCAAGTTGCGGAAGAGATCGAAATCGAATGATTCCTCTGATAATTCTTCGTACGTTTCTAATCCTCGTCGGTCCTAATGAACGATAACATCTTTCTCAAATGCAGTTTCTTAATAAATTTAAAAGAATTAGTATATTCTTCAAAAATAAATCAAAATTTAAGTTTGAAGTATAGAAGATTGATTTTTCATTATTCGAATTGTGTAAGCTAATGAGAAGATTGCTTCAGTAAATACATGTAAAACATGAAACCTAATGTCTTACCTCGGAATTTGGTTCTTCTAGGTTTAACGATAAAGAAAATTTCTTACCATGTAACCTTGAGTTGGTAAAGCGACTACTGCTATCATCATTCCTGCGGTATAATGTCTATTAAGCTATTTTGTCAGACATGATAATGTATCGTCTACTTACGAAGTAGTAGAACACGCTTTAACAACGACGAGACACGATGTTCCATTTTTGAGAATCCTGAAGTAGATTCGGCGATATTGGCAGACCGTTTCGATGCTCGGCTGATCCAGCAGCTATCCCACTGACACTGTCGGTTCTTAAACCGTGCTGTCGGGAGAACTTACCGGCCTTAATGACCGCGTAATTTCTCATTACGATCTAAACTACGGCTAACCGGGATATCCGGTTGTTCCGTATGCCTTCGATGCTCGAAATTGTCCGAATCTCACCGACACATTCATAAAAAGAGGAATCATCTTTCGTGTGCAAACTTTACAGACACCTTAATAGTCGACAACATTATTAACCCTTTGATCCAAATCATTTTGCGTGATCTGTATCGATCGAAATCTTGGGTGCAAATATTTCAAGGTACCAACAGATGTCACTGGTGCACGAGCAAACCAGGTAACCGCGTTCCGACTGACTTTCACCTGAGTCAACCAATAGCGGTGCTCGTTCTCCAGGTAACTTTCTTCCGCTGAGATGGGGACTTTCAGTAACGTATGTTAGCTCTAAACAGCTCGAAGACACATAGAAAGTATTATATTTTAACGACCAGGGATGACAAAAATGCTATGATGAATTGTATACGATTTAAATAAAAACTAGAGGACTGTAAAAAGAAGAAGTATAACGTTCTTGGTTCGTCGTACACTAAAAGGAACCGTGAAACGTGTTCATGGACGGCCCTGGAAGCCAATGAACCAATCATGCGCAGCCTTAACGACTCAGTCCTATAGAATTATTCCCGGTTCCAAGCCGTAGAGCCGCGTGTCTACGAAAGGACAGCGCGTATCAACTGCCAATGAGGGAGGCTACGCTGCTCGGTCCGCCTTTCTCTTTAGCTCCGAGCCACGGCTCAGTTTTCACGGCAGCCTCATCCAGGAACCACTGGCAGAATGTCTTGAAGCCCGGAGATGTGGTGAAACGTTTTCGTGCATTCTTCTCCTTATCTTCTTTCTCCGCTGTCACACCGGCGTTGCGCGCGCGCGTGCACAGAGGACGCAGACTGGTGCGAGCCGACGAATATGTGACCCGGGGACAAGGTCATCCTAAAAGCAACGACTGTCATCGTGCTTTCGGAACCGTTTGTCAAAGTGCAATAACAAGGTATACAACTCCACGCAAATTCGTATCTGGGTTAGAAGCTACTTTGCGGTCGCTTATAGCTAATTTCGAGGAAAGTTCGAACAAAGGCGAGTTTCTGTCATGTGTCACCGTTCCACGTGCTTTCCGAGCGGTGACTTCGATGCGTGGATGAGAACGCTTGCGTAGTCGCGCTGTCAAACATCGATTATTCCTCGGGATTGTCATTCTATCTTCCAGTCTAACTCTCAATTCTCTTTCCCTTTATCCCTCTTACCGAATTCTTGCGAATCGACGCGAAGTAACGATTACTCAATCGCGATTACGATCGCTGTCACGGTGACTAATACGAAAAAGTTGTTGAAACTCGATCGATTAGAGGAGGACGCATCGGGTTACTAGAAAATTCGCAATTTTTCCTAATATCGACCGACTTCGAGCTGCCTCCGCAAGGCCAGCTGGTGAAACGAAAATATCCTTGCGCTCGGTTGACGCAGAAGAAAAGAAACACGCAGAATACAATCTCGATCTCGCAATCCTATTTTTCCCTCCCCCACCATCGTGTAGTATTCGTGTCACAGCGGCGGAGATCACGGTTGAGCGTCTAAAACAATTGACATTATTCCGGACCGCTCGAGCTTTCCCCTGGCGCGCTTCGCGTTTAATAACATTAATTGCCGCGTCGGAAAGTGGAGCGTGGTTTATTGTATTTTCTTCGCGGATCAATTATTCCTTCCGCGGCCGCGGAACGGAAGCAGGCTTTCTCACGAACCCCTGTATCTCGTCGCCAATTATTCTCGCGGCATCTTCGCGCCACCACCGTTCGGATCGACGTTGATCCCGGATCACCTTACTTTCGACTCGTATTCACGGATTTCAAACGAGAAATACCGGGTGTCAAACGCGGCGTTACGTCAATGGAAAACCGGTGCGAGATTCTTTTTTCTAGCGTTTCCTTCAACACCGGGACTTGAAGTCAACGATTGATTCGGTTCATTGCTTATCGTGACGGCAACCGTTAAGGTCGGCACGAAACAAGTGAAAGGAGCTCCGTATTTCAATTCCCCGTGCAAAATCGTGGCCGCATCGACGGGTTGTTCCTTTAATTACGATATCAAAGATAAAGTGATCGGTTAATTGCCGCATTGTTCGCGTAAGACTGCGTGTACTGTGCTTGCCTTTTCGATTTTCGTTCGGATCGTTTCGTTGCGGGGCTGCTAGCTTTCCGGTACATTTGCCTCGGTGCTAATTGCGTAATTCCGTTCAAAAAATTCCAGAAGCTTCCTAGAAAACGATCGTTTGCACGTTCGGTAAGACACCGTGTTTGTGCTGGGCTGTCGCGGCGTAACGCTCGCGTTACGGGTTGCATAAACCGCCGGGGAAACTAGATCACCGCGCTTTTCTTTTTGCCCTCTCGCTCGCTGAATTACTGGATTACCGAAACCGTAATAAACGCCGGCGATTCGTGTCGCAGGTCACCGGGCCTCGCTCGATGATCACGGCCGCTACCAAATCGGTAGGCTTCTCCGTTCTCTTTCCTCGGATGTGTTCTCCGCTCCTCTCTCATTCCTCTCGCCTCATCGACCTCCTTAAAACGCTCCTTTTCAAGGCCATCATTCCGTGATCGCCTTCGCGCGTCACCGATCCCTCGAAACAAGAATCCCCGATCATCTTCGCTGGCCCACACGTTTCTCCCGCGCATCCTCCTTATACAGAACTCATTGCCCACGATCTAACGGTTCGTCGCAAACGACTCCGGACGTTTCTAGACCGCATCGAGTTGCAGATTCGAAAACGCAACATTTTAATCGCCGCCGCGGCGGCGAACCGTTTTTCCCGCGGATCGTTCGAACGACCGCAATTACGAGCCGGCCTGATATTCCAATTACAGCTTCGCCGGTTCAGCATGCCGAACGGTTTCGTTTAGGCGAATCGATGCTCGCACGCAACGGGCCGTTTCCACGTCGATCCGCGCCGCGGAGAACCCGCTAATCCCGAGGAAAGTATTTGCATTCGAGCGAGAATCGCGAGAGCCGCGCGTTTCACTTTCCGCCGTGCCTCTGGCAGAAAGCCGCCGACCGCGTCAACAGTCTCGTTCGCTCCTCCGTTACCGATACTCGATCTCTAGCCCGGGTCTCAATCGACGCGCGACCCCGCAGTCGCGTTCCTCCGAAACTCGGTCGTCGCGTTCGCAAAAAACTTCATTGAGGTAATTGCTCCGTCGGGGACCGGCCGCCGAATTATCTTCGATCGCGGCGATCTCGCGTTGCCGGAATTGTCAGCCGGGACCGTCGCTCGAAGAGATACGCGGCGGATAAACGGTGGTTGCACGCGATTCCTCGTGGACACGGTGTGCCGTAAGGAAGCGGCAGCAACGAGGTCATTCGTCTCTTTATGACTTTCTTTGTTTCTACCGGTACGCCGCTCCGCTCCTTGCCGCGCCTCGTATCGTCTCGCAGCGATGCCCGTGGATCCTAGAAGCAAATTAGTCGCGTCTCGCCGCGGACGACGCGCCCACGAAATACTGATTTTTACAGACGCGAGGTCTCGATCGGCTCGCGTGGGACGCGATTCGAGGGGACCGTTCTTTCGTTTGCTTCGATGGGATGGTGTCGAAACGCGCCGAGAAGCGCGTCACGGTTCTCAAATCGAGTGGGCTCAAGGAAATCGCGGCTCGATCGGTCCCAGGGATCTCGTTTCGAATCGGGGAAAATTTTAATTGCCTTGGGCGAATCTATAGCGGAGCTATCGCTCGCGCGGATCTACCGGGGAACGCTTTCTCACGTTTCGCGCAAAACAGCGCGGTTACAACAGGGACCGGTGACTAATCAAACCTTATGCCGGGAGTAATTGTTACCGTTGCCGATTTCATCGCGGGTGAACGGTCGCGCGACCGTTTCGCTCGCCGAGCGGAATGGAACGTTGATTGGAGCCTGGCCTATTGTCTGTCGAGCAGATGATACTCATTTTTCCGCTGCTCTGGGCCTTGGTCCTGCCCGCCTTGGCCGTGTACGTGCCGCCCGGGCCACGGTTCAGGTGTCCCAGAGAAGTTAAGTACATCTACCCCTGCGTGTGTCTTCGAGGCAGCGACAGGGGTCTTTATATACGCTGCGAGAACACCAACTTGGCTAGCCTGAGCTTGGCCTTCTCGAATCTGGGCAACGAGGGAATGCCTATCGAGGAACTTGTCTTGTACAGATGTAACATAGGTACGTTTCGTCTAAAGCAACTCTCAATTTCGGCAGATCAGTAGCTTTCACAGTTCACCGCTTGCAATATTTCGCCTGAAATCTATTCGACTTTCAACTTATCTATCAAAAGGACGCTTCTATGGACCGGCGCTCTATCCCCTGGACGTCCGGGTATTGAGTTTCATCGACACACCATTGAGACTAATCGAGGAGCACAGCTTCCTCGGCGTGAACCGCACGCTCCAGGAGCTGTACGTAATAAACAGCACCCTGGAGAAGTTCCCCCGCGAGGCGCTGCACATCCTGGGGAACCTCAGCATCCTCAGCATTGCGGGCCACCGCATGTCCACCTTGCCAGCTGATGGATTCGCGGAGAGCGCCGCTGCCGCGAAAATCGAGAAACTGGAGATTAGTAACGGTAGTGATTTTCGCGAATGGAAACCGCGACGATCGGATTTTCTCCGTGACTTTCTATTTCACTGTTTATAGGAACTCTAACTTCACTGCCCGTCGACGTTTTCGCGCCTCTGAAGAAGCTGAAGCGATTGGATCTGCACGGGAACGAGATCAAAGAGCTGAAACGAAACCAGTTCAAGGGGTTGAGGGACACCGAGTACTTGGACCTGTCCCACAATCAGATTAACAAGCTGGACGGTTCTCACCTGGCCGATCTGACGAAGATGGGCTGGTGTAACATGTCCCATAACGCGATCTCTGACTTGAAGAGGTAGATACTGTCAGGAAACTCGATTAAGTTTGATACGTTTCATTGTTCCAACGGTGTATTTCCTTGGTTGCTAGAGGAACGTTCGCGAGGAACTCATTGCTAAAGGTGTTAAACCTCAGTCACAATAAAATCAGGAAACTGGACTCGAACACTTTCCGCGGAATGCGTTTCTTGATCAGATTGTTTTTGAGCGACAACCAGATCAACGACGTCGGTCGAGGGACTTTCGGTCCAGTAACAAGGATAGGAACCATCGACTTGGCCAGGAATTTTATCAAAAAGATAGACTTCCAGATGTTCAATCAGCTTCAGTTCGCTGAGGTATGAACGGTTACCGCAGAGTATACTGTACTTTCATTTTTTAGCATATTTATTCTGTATGTTACGTAGGTTTTGGATGTGTCGGAAAATTTTGTTACGGTCATAGAGAAATTGTCTTTCAAAGATCTCTACCTGGCAAAGATCAATCTGTCTCATAACGAGATCTCAAAGATAGAACCGGGGGCGTTCGAGAACTGCGTGAACATGACGGTGTTGGACCTGAGTCACAACAAATTGGAGAATATTTCTAAATATTCTTTCGATAGCGCGACTTACGCTACCGAATTACAATTGAGCTACAACCAGTTCACTTCCTTGGTTCAGGTATCGTTTAGAGTTTAATTAAGGGTCTGATAGAATCGCAGGGAACTAAGAATAACCGAATCCATTGCCATTAATCATTTTAGGTACCGCTGCACAACATGACAGGTCTGAAAGTTTTGAACGTTTCCCATAATTTGATACACTCAGTGCCACGTCAGACGTTCCCGAAGCTGTACGAGCTGCATACGATCGATCTATCCCATAACAACCTGTCAGAGATCCACAACGCTGTTTTTCAAACTCTGTTCAGCCTTAGGTTCTTAAACCTGTCGTACAATTCCATGGAGAAGATCAAACCGTCCACGTTTGGTCCTTTGCCAACGCTTCTCGAGCTGGACATGAGTCATAATCAATTGAACGATGTTGCTAGGGGTAGTTTAACCAGGTTACCTAGCTGCAGGTGAGTAATCGATTCGTAACACTTCGGTCTCTACATGAATAAATAGGGATTTGCGATTAACAATCGTGTTGTACCGATTCGTAGGACCTTGACAGTCAAGAACAATCGCTTGACAAAGATCTTCCAGCTACCAATCTCTTTAGCGTCGCTAGACTTTTCGGAAAACTTGTTGGAGGAGATACCAACAACGGAAGTATGGCCATCAATGAACGCCCTGCTTTATCTGGATCTCTCCAAAAACCGATTAGGAGATAACTTGAAGTACGGTAGCTTCGAGAATCTGCTAACCCTGAGGTCTTTGTACCTGCAATCGAACAACATCACGAAGCCACCGTGGGAAGCGCTCAGCACCCTCAGCAGTTTGCAATATCTCCATCTACAGGTCGTAGATGAAAACCGAATTCATTTTCTATTAATTACTTCCACGAGCGCTGTGTACTAAGTAAAAGTAATCATTTTAGGATAACCAGCTAACAGAGCTGGGAAAAGCCGCGTTTGGTCGCTTGCCTATAGTGTTCGAGCTGAATCTAGCTGACAATCAAATATGGAACGTGAGCAGTCGAGCTTTCGAAGGGCTGCTGCAGCTACTCACGTTGAACCTGACGAACAATAATCTGGCTCACATTCCAAATGGAGCGTTCCAAGGCCTCGTGTCCCTGAGGACTCTCGATTTGTCTCGGAATAAGCTGGAGAGCCTGGACAACAAGACCCATGGTCTCCTGGATGATTGCTTGTCCCTGGAGAGAGTCAATCTGAGTCACAACAAGATCTCCTTCATCACCAAGAAAACCTTCCCGAACGATCCGTGGATTCCCTACAGGTTGAAGGAGATCGATCTCTCGTACAACACGATGCCTGTGTTGACTTTCGAATTGACAATCGGCGCGAAGAAGGTTCAAGTGCTGAACATCAGTCACAACAACATCAATGATATACGAAGATGTGAGTAGCGGATGATTATAGTCCAACGAGCAGTGGTCGATCGCTTCTCACGGGTTTCTTTTAACGCTTCAGACGTGATTGGAAATCTGACGGCCGTACAGACCCTGGATCTCTCTCACAATGAGATCAACGACCTCTCCGAACCGGACATCTTCGACCCACCTGCGAATCTGACCAATCTGCATCTGAGTCACAATCATCTGAGTCATATACCCTTGAACAAGATCCTGCCGCTGCCTAATTTGAAGGTCCTCGACGTGAAGTCTAACGTCATCGGCGTGTTTGACGACGCTTTTATGAAGATCATAAAAAACGGGACCAGGCTCGAGTTCTCTGGTAAAGAAAACCGAATGATATAGAACGTTGATCTTTGAAGGAGAAGTAGTAAGAGATGAAATACGGTTTACAGGTAATCCGTTGCACTGTGACTGTTACGCGAGACCCCTGAAGAGGTGGCTGAACACGCACACGGAAGTCCCAAGGGAATGGTCCAACGTCACTTGCCAGAGTCCACATTTCCTAACTAATAAACTCATCACCGAAATTACAGAAGATTTAATGGGCTGCGGGGAGAGGGAGACGAAGGAATACCCTGAATACGACATCACTCCAGATGTTAAATACAGGAACATCGAATAGTGCGTACTCATCAATGCTGGATACAGTTGTCACTGCTACATAGCGAAGTCCTACGTCTATCTTAACACTAGAATTACCAAGCAGTTAAACTGACTTTTCCAAATTTCTTTATAAAACTTATAACTGTGTATTTATGAAAATCTCAATTGGCTTATATTTCAGTGTAGATATCACTAAATCAGTTTCTTTAACGATTTCTCAGAGCATTTTTATCTTTCCAGTAATTATAAAAGAAGAAATTGGAAATGGGTCATTCTGTCTCATCTGGTAGTTCTAGTGTTAAAATTGTACGTTTGAAACAGAATCTAAACTCCTTAGGATCACTTGAATCATGTTTAGTTTGCATTCCGATTGATTCTGCAACCTCGCTATACTTTAGCGACGACTAGACTAAGCAGAACATTTGCTCAAACTCCTAATTTCCAGCAACGAGGACGACAAGAGCTGGAAAGCGACCTGGTACGTGACATCGAGGGAAGACATCGGCGATTTTTACGTGGTGGTCCGAGAAACGGGTAGCAGCAGATCTGCGATTGAAAAGGACTTAGTCTACAGCGAGCGGTCCTTCAGGATCCAAGACCTCCAGGACTCCAGGTCAAAATACGAGCTCTGCGTTCTCGCTCGGGACTCCGAGGGGAACGTGAAGCACTTCCGCAGCTCTCAGTGTCAGATCCTAACCCAGAACGCATTCGACTCGTCCACGAGTTTCGCGGTGAGCGTGCCCCTGATTCTAATCGCCGTGTCCTTCGGCATCCTGGCGTGATGAGAGAAAAACGGAGAAGCGGTGAATTATTTTTCTCGCGACCGTGTTCCAGCGGAGCACCGCGCGAACCCGGCTATGCCGAGTTTCGTATGTCCCACGATTAACGGTGTAAATAACTATCGCGATCATAATCAATGGTCGCGGCGTGGATCGTGGCTTGTACATAGGCTGTATGGTTACCGATAGGAACCGCGAAGGCGTTGAACGTCGTGTATTTATTGTATTTTTGTAAAAATATACTTTCCCTAGTTCCCGGACCAGGTCTTCAGGACGATCCTCTTGAGTATTCCGTTTAAAGTAGAGTATCTGCTCTGGAGGTCACAGGTACGTTGATTCCTCGAGGAATCTAAATCAAGGAAGAAGAATCGATAGAATAGAAAGAGTGAAAGATTCGAAGAATCTCCAATCGATTCGAAATGATCGGGTAGCGGAATGCAGAGACGATTAACGGACAATTTGTTTTAATAACTCCAGCCAGCTAATCCCACGAGCCTAATTCCCGAGTAGCGCGTTGTCCTGTCGTTAATAAAGGTGTTTCTCTCGGGGCCCGACTGAAAAAGTTCTCAAGGAAGTCAACGGGCTCGCGAGCCGCGCGCACCCAAGATAATTTCATTATGCCGCGGTTTATAATTAGCATCCACGGTTATCCCGGAGGAAGAGGAACGGCTCGGGGGGGCCTTTTTTAATGAGGCCGAGGTCGCGTGGTTGTTGTCGCTTCCGCAAAACGATCAGCGAAATTGATACCTCCCGACGTCGTCCACGCGACATCCTTCGATCCTCGATCCGTTGACTCCTCCCCCGGAATCTATCCGCCGGCGACGCTCCGGGCTACCCGAGAGTTCAACGTATCCTCGAAAATTTCGAGACGAGGCTGGTTTCGACGAGGATTAACGGTACAGCCGGGATCGGTAAACGAATGGCGTGCGAGATCGTTATCAGCCAGACGCAAACGGAAAAAACAATCGCCCCACAACGCGTCCCGCGTCCCGCGTGTCCCGATCGAGCCGTTCCGCTTTTGTTTCCCTTTTTATTTATCCAACAGATAGCCTTCTTAGTTCTGCTGGCTGCGCCATGGGAATCGAAAGAAACAATGATAACGAGAGCTACTCGGAAGCATTCGCTTCGCGAGGAATCGGCGTCCGGGAACGGTTCATCGTCGGCATTATGCGCGGTAAATGAGACGATTAATGGATCGCTGAATTGAACGAGATTTTATTCGGATTACTTGGTAACATCCTACCCGAGGATTTAAGACGGATGTCGGACAATAGGAGGTTAATTGACGAGTAAATCCGCTCGGGGATCCAGATACCGCGTGTACCATACATCCATCTGCTGGGACGTCGTCGGGTATCGATCCGTCCGCGAGATAGTCGTGGATCCATCCGATAACGCGTTACCGGAAATGTTGTTTCGTGCGATCGCTTTAATTATCGAATATTTGCGAGCCAGTCGCCGTGGAAGGAGTCCAATTAGCTTCGGGCTGTGGCGATCGTTACGGAGCCAAACGATTTCTCGTCGACGAACGTAATCGGTATCGGTGGCTCGTTACGAAATCCTTGGACACTTTCACCTGGAGGGCTGGCGGTGCCGCGTCTCGTCCGGGTACCGTGCACGAGCGTTCACGAATATGCACGAGCAACCACGAAGAGGAACGTTCACGGCGCGGCACGGCGCGGCGTTCGCGCTGCGTAGACATCCGTTTGTCTGGCCCCGGTCGGACCATAAGGCCCCAAGGCTGTTCAGCCATCGGTCGAATAAATTTATGCGCGAGCGTCCCTCTGCTGCGGGGGGACGCTCGGAGCCACGGTTTCGTTGACCCAGCCGGGCTTCACTCGGCCAACATGATAATTAATTATCGATCGATCGCGTACAACCGTAAATCATCGGCATTCTCAATCTCGCGGGACCCGCGCTCATCGATTTGCAATTATTTATTCCGGTTCAAGGGCTGCGTCCGCGGCCGGTGACGCCGGAAAGCTATAAATAGGATTAAAGAGTGACTCCGCCGGTAGATTTCCAAGGGAAGATTTCGCGCGGTAAACACACGGCGACCAGTTCTTCGAGTTTGCCGAACGCATTTGCACAGTCCGCTTTGGACAGTGACTCACACAGACCTCTCTCCCTCCTGAGGCCGCGCGCCTACCTGCGTTCCTCTCCCTTTAAAGGCGGAGAATCCTTCCGAGGAACCAGCCGTATAATCGACCCCATAGGCACCGTAAATTGGAGTAGAAATATCGTACCGCCTGTCGGAAACTAAAAATCTGCCCTCGTTAATATCGCAGCGACTCGTGAGAAGGCCAGCCTCCTTTTAAACATGCTTCCCATCGATCCTGCCCGCGGGCGATCGATCCATTAAGCAATTAGGCCGAGAGTATCCATCGATTTAGCATGCATTTCGCATTCCGCGCTCTCGCGATGAATATTTCGAAAGCGACCGGTCGGAGAACTGGTATTTCCGACGGCGTATCCCAGATTTCTTCGAAAACGTACTCCGTAATATAAAGAACGAAACCATGCGAGGATATCGTACAGCCTGCCAATATTTGCGCCAAACGAAATAATCGAATCGTCGAAAGGAGCGAGTTTCGCCGATTCTTCCACGCACTGAAAAATGTCAAACGACGAAACAGGTTTGTACGTAAACATCGTTCCAGCGGCTGGTTTCATAAAACCAGACGAGGCCGGGCGATCGGCGTCGGGAAGCTGAACCCGGTTGAAAAAGCAAATCCAGGAGGAACCGAGCGACGAATTCGCAAGAACGAGGCGAGGAGCGCGGCTCGCTCGCGATGCGAGATACCGGGGGAGCAGACGCTCACGTGCGCGCCGTTAAAAAGATATTGCCCCGTTCCGCGTCGACGTCCGGCCCGCGGGTCCGGTGTGTGTCGGTGTATGGTTCGAACTCTCCCGCCAGTGGCCGGGGCCCCGTCAGTGTCTCTCGCGTTCTCGCACGGGGAACATCTTCCGCTTGCTCGCGTCACGGCTCGCTCGCGTCGCCTCCTTGTCTTTCTCGATTTCCACGGTGTTGCGTGTCGCGTCGCGGGACGCGTCGCAGGGATAGCACAACCGCGATTCGTCAGTGCGAGGACAGTGAGAGAGAAAGAGAGAGAGAAAGAGAGAGAGAACAAGGGTTCGTTATCGAGGAGGATCGGCTGAAAATCCGACTAGATGAGACTGTTCAGCGGCTAGATCCAAATCTACTCCTCTTCCTCCCTTCTCCCTCCCTTCTAACCCTCCTCTTCTCCTTCTTTTTTCACTCCGTCTCGGCCCCCCGTGGTCCGCAGTGTTCAGACCGGGATTTTTGAGTATCACCGGACATGGAGTCTGGATTCTGGAGACTGGCACTGTGCTGGATATGTATCCTCGGCGCGGCGCGCGCGAAAGGTGAGTAAACGACGGTCCGTCGACGTCCCCGATCATTTTCGCGCGACACGCTCCAATATTTCGTGGTTCTCGAAGCGTCACGTGGACAGCGGGTGCGCGACTCAAGGTCGTCAGACGTTCACTCGCCCATCGCGCCGCAGGGACCCGCTGCAGCGCTTCCCGATCTCACGAGTCTCGCGTTCTGCGTCTTTCCCGGAACCCTGGTCATCCGCTCGGCCTCGGGAAAATTGTGCGAACCGCCGGCTATGCCGGTTACTCCGCGCTTAGGGTAATTACGGGATCTTTTGTTCCGCCGGGAGGTTGACGGAAACGCGGCTACGGGAGGCTGGAGTTGGTTTCGGCATTCGCCGATTGCAGGTTTTATTCGTTGTTTTACGAATCTCCGCTGCAATCACCGTTGTACATCGAGTTCGCCGAATGGCGTAGGCGCGAAAGGAGTCGAAACACCGCGCAACACTTTCGCAAATGGATTTGTCGCGGGGAAGTTGCGTAAGGGGTCTAATAATACCGCGCGAAAGCCTCGAGAACCGTGCGATTTAATCGCGGACAATAACGCTGCTCGATGAATCACACGATACTCCTGGATCTCGTTATTCAACCGGCATTGCGTCACGCTTCCTCCAAACAAGGTTCGAATTGAAATTCGAGGGACGGAAATGGATGCAGCAGCTTCTCTTCAGGAACCCCCTCCTCGGTTCCCCAGAATCTTAGTCACGTCGATCGGAAAAGGAACGGTCGAGCAAAAAAGGCGAATGTCGCCGTAAATTTTGATTCATCCGTGTTGTTTCCAGAGATACATCTTTTCTCATCATTTTGTCTTACCAATTAACACACAATCGATCTTCTGCGTTTCTCCATAGATTGCCCCTTCGAATTCTCATCTACCGAACGAAATACTATTCAACCATCGGTTCGTGTAACCAGGAGATCTAGGCGTCCTTTTCATCTCAGTGTTCCATCGAATCCCTCTGGTCTCGTTGAAATCGGAAATCTCCGATGTTCGAAAAGCGTTCGCGATTTCCTCGATCCTCCGGAGCGCGCGAGTGTCGGGGAGAGCCAGAGGCGGAGCTGGTTTTCGTATTCAGCTCCCCGACATTCCTCTCGGTTCGGATTCTCTGCACGTGGGCAGGAGAATCGAGGAAAGAGAAGGTGAAATTCGAGCTAACTTGTTCACTCTCGTTGCTACGCGTGTTCGTCTTCCCCGGGAACATTCGCGGGACCTATGGGAAGGCAACTGTTAGGACGCTCTAAGAGGTGGAATTATAGAGTCGGCTCCAGTACTTTTGTTCCCCTCGCGGGTGGGGAACCAGTGAGCAACGCGTCGCGCCGCGCATCTTCTTCTCCATCGTCGTCGTCGCCGTGAGAGACGGCTAAAAGGGGGTGGAGCTGCAGACAGCCGGCTACCTCGATAAAGATAGAATCCGTGGCAACGTCAATTTCAAGCGACGACCAACAAAACATGGAATAACCGGGCGCAACACTGTAGGAAATCGGTTCGATACGATGTATCGGCTCCGGGCATGCACCAGGAGAAACGAAAAAGCCGGAGATCGAGCGTGACGCAAGAAACGCGTTCAATCACGGAATAAATCGAGCTGCTCGATTAAAATCAAGCGGACTGGCCGCAGCTGTTCGTGGCGCGATGGAGCACCGCGATCCTCGCGGTTTCGACGTACCGTGGTCTCCCCGTGCTTCTTTTTCTCTTCTAATCGCGCGAAAATCGGTGGAATGCGTACGGATACGCGGGAAATAAGATTAATAGGAACGACGCGTTACGACTTGGCAAAAACTCACGAGTTCCCCTTGACTTTCACGCTCCCGAGTTCCCTCTGTCCAGTTTTCATTCTTGGCACTCTCTGCGACATTACGCGTATGCACGTCGCACTTTCTTGCCACGTGCCACGGTGTAGTTAGCGAAAATTTATGAGAACATTCCTAAAATCACGCTACGGAGAGAAAGTAAAGTGTGGATTTCAATTTCTAAAAATTGAATGCGAGCTCTCATCTAATTTAAGTGGGAGAATATGAATGCGATCGTCGAATCGGTAAAGCGATATGATTAGAATCACTGTGCACTGCTCTCGCGAGAAAGCGTAGCCATGAGGCGAAGATCTCGTGCGTTTCGCGATCCGCTGAAACACGTGGCAAGGAATGAGGAATAACGAGAGTACCAGGGGTCGGTCAGTGACGTAGCCGAGAAGCTGGAGGCCCTGCCCGAGACGCTGCACGCGTCTTTCGCCGGCTACTGACCGATTACCGCGAGGAAAAAGCATCCACGAATCTCGGGGCATCGCGTGACGCTGCCGTTGTCCCGAGGCGTTATTGACTCGCTATCATTTCGGCGTCGAGAGTCCTGGGAAAGATTTACGGCCTTTCGATCCTGTCCGTTCGCGATCGCGCGCCGCGGTACGCAAAAAAGTGAAACAGGCTTCGCGTGAGCATTGGCCGCCGAGACAACGGTCACTGTTTCCAATGCTCCGAGGCGATAGAATCTGATAAAAAGATGTTAGACAACCGAAGTATTCACTAAGGGGTAAAATAAAAGATGTCGGAGTTGAAAATCTGCGTTGATCAGAGACTTTTTCGAAAGTGGCCCGTTCGTTTCATCGCGTTTCTCAAGAAAAGTGCCACGTTCGCGCGTATAAAACAATGCGTCACCGTGTTCGAGCAAAAGAAACTTTCTCGCGCAACGATCGCCGATCGAGGGACGTTTGCGGAGGTCGCCGCGCATTTAATTGCAAGACAGCGCCTCGCCGCTCCGGCCTGAGCGTTCGCCTTGTATGCAAAAGAAGTATTCGCGGAAAAGTGAATCGAGTGGGTGTCGGCAGTGTCGTAGCATCCGTTCCGCGAAGCCCGAAGCTCCTGGAAAGCAGGAGAAAAAGGAGACGAAAAGCGGAGGATGAAAAGATCTTCCTATTTGGGCACGGACGAAAGATCGTTCCTCGGCGGAGCACGATCGACCGTCGAGCGGAAAAAGGATCGACAGGGGTTGAAGGGGGAAAGGGGAGAGAAGCCGGGATAACGCGTCGGCCCTGGACAAGGAGAGGACGCGGAGAATGCGAGAGTGTCCGCAGGAATGGGAATCGGATGGTGGGAGTGAGAGTGGGAGTGAGGAATCGACTGGGAGAGGCCATAGGAAAACCGGTTGCCAATCTGCGCGGACGTTGGACATCGGCGAGAGAGGAGAGCGGAGAAAACGGCCAAAAAAAGACCGGGAGGTTCACTCCGGTTTTCAGCAAAGCTAACCCAGACCTACGTGTCGGCCCATTTTCATTGATTTTTGTTCGGGACCACCATGGACGGGATTGCCCGGCGATCGCTGGACGCAATTACGCGTTGCGAGCCCACGGGATGGGATAAAGAGAAATTCAGGGCGAATCACGCGCGAAACGCAGGGAATCGTAAAACGGAGGCGATCGTTTGAGAAGTTCAAACGATACCTTTGGTCGACTCGATCGAGACTGGGATCGAAACGATCCGGTAAGCTGGGGGATCTGGAGTCGACCGGAGGATTACCACATTGCAGCGTTCATCCTGGGACTTGGAAAAATGGAATGTAATTTGTACTCGGGCTTTTGATGGTTGTCCTGCTTTGTTACCGATGAATACCTTTTATCTCGATCTTTTTTATATTAATAACTACGATTCGGTTCTTTAATTCATTAAAGCACAATTAATTGTTCGCTTCTATCTTTTCAACTGCAGATTCCATTCTGGCCAGTTATCCGGCGACCGATCGCCGAATCGTTCCTTCGTGACGACGAGTCGGCCAGCTTTCTCGATTTGGTCGTGGAAATGGCGTTCGATCGCGTTTTCCGTTCGCTGATAAATCACCGTCACCCCTCGATCGTGATCCCGACGCCGACGGCACGAGCACGTCCCGGCGGCAGAGATCGCGCCGTCACGCGCGTTTCACGTAACGGATCTAGTTTTTCCGGACCGATCGATCGAGACGCGCTCGCCACCGATCTTTCCCCACTTTTTCCGGTCGACGAAACTGGGTCTCGACCGCGCTCGATCCGTCGATCGTCACGCGCCTGCCGTTTTTCCCCGACGGCGTTCGCAACGGTGTCGCGCTTAGAAAAAACGCTTTCCGCGCAGTCATCGCGCACCATCTGCCGCTGGATACTGTCGCCGAAGGGTCGCAGCCTCTGACATAGAAGATTTTGCGTGAATAGCCGCGCGTATCAGGACGGCGCGTCGACTATTCTTCGTCGCCTCTTTAACGATCAGCGCCGCGTTGCCTAAGTTATTCCCTCGTAAAACTTATTTACCGTGGAAACGTTCCACGATAAAAAGCTGCCGTTAAACTCTCGAAGACAGAGGGCAGCTTCTTAAACGGTGAATTCCGCGTGTTCGACGCCCCGAGATGTCCCCTAAATCCTACGAGTTAATACAACCGTGCAATAATTTATCCGCGTCCCCTTCTCCTTGTCCCCGCGTCGCTTTACACGCGTTTTCCCTCTGAAAAATCTGTGAAACGGCACAGCGGGAAATGGTATTCTCCAGGATGACGCAAGCTTGTCCATAGGCGGTGGTCAGGAAACAGCTCTCGAAGCTGTTTCGGAATACAGCGAATCTCCGCGTCGAATCTTCCCGTAACAATCGAACGTCTCGATATCCTGTCCGTTGGATCATGGCGAGGCAGCGTTTTCCTTGGCGATAGCCTTCTTGACCTCTTCCCTCTCGCTCCTTCCCTGGCCTCGGATTTCTGCGTCTCTGTAGTTCACGGGACTGTTCCCAAAGCCAAATATGGCGGATACCGGTCGAACCACTCGTGGTGCACGCGTGTCACCGCGGGCTGCGTGGGCACGCGTGCCTGTGCGTGTGGAGACGAAGAACAGACAGGAGCACCCACGGGCGAATTCCACGCGTTCGACGGTCGTCGATGCCGTATAAGCTGGCCAGCGCGACTCCGACCGCGTAAAAATCACCCACCGGTACCGCGCCTCCGTTTTAGGTGGGAGAGTGTGTCTTCTTGCGAATCGGGGGACGACCGT